TTTCTGCACTATTTCGTGGGGAAAGCGTTATTGGCGTCGCGAAATGTCGACTTTTAAGCTAGGGATTCATACGCGTATACCCGTTGAACTTGCCGGCTTGTATATTTAAAAAACATTCAAGCGGACGAATGCTACAGAGCGCGTATCACTACATGCTGCCAATGGATCAAACTCAATTAGTTCCAGTCATAACCGTAAACAACATGTAAACGACATGAAACGACAACAATGACTTGAATTTTTGATGGACGCACGTCATATGAAAACGATCCAAAAAAAAAGTCGGCAGAGCTGAAAAAAAAAGGCTATATTCTCTACGACCTGGGCTGTTTTCCACCCAGATAGGATTTTTGACGGGACTCAAAATTTGGCCTGATTTGTACCTCACTGAATACTTAAGTAACTTTCCACCTTACATGCAACTGTCCATGCACTCTTGGGTGAAGTGAAAGAACAAGACTTCAACACGGAAATGTTCGAAATTCTTCTTTAGTAGGCGGAAACTAGGCGAGCTTGTCAAGACAAAGCGGACGGACAAATCTATTATCCACCAAATTTATCTTGACGTTTTTCATATACTTGTACTCTTTCCTTAGCAATAAAATTGATGACGTGGAATTTGACGAGGAGCAATTATTTCAGCATATAAGTGAGGCCATTGATCGAGAGGATATGAAGGTGAGAAAGACATTAGCTGAAATACAGAAAAGCGACGCAAAACAGCAAGAAAGCGTTTTTTTAAAATAAAAACCCACTTTTTTAAGGGAGATAGTTTGCTAATAACTATAATTCTAGATAAAAGTCCTTGGGATAGTGATGCAGTAGTCCTGACTTTCTACAATTTTTGGGTGTTTTTACAACAACAACAACAACAAATAACAGGCCAGCTTTTTAAAAATATCTTGCAGTCCCCCCTTTCCCCATCCTGTACAAAGTTGAAACTCGGGAAAAATTTGGGATATACGGGATTCATCGTTGTTTGTGGGGTGGGGTGGGGGAGGGGTTGGGCATGTGAAATTAAAAGAGAGCCCCATAAATGCAAATGTGTCTTGAGAATTTGTCTATGATTGCACTTTAGAACTGAGTTGACAGAAAGTCGTTCTGTATCTTTCATTCGGCAATGACTCTCCACCTGTGCCCTCACGTCGGACCATTATCAGTCGGGTGAATAAATACTGGTATCCGGGGACAGTGACCAAATGATGATTGCCACTGACTATACCTCACGTTTTGACATGAACTATCTTATAATAACTATTAATTATATAGGTTATCATGGAAATATACACAGACGACCTGGGATTTAGACATCAAGAGTTCTTCCATGATTTGAAGGTGAGATTTTTGTATAAGGGTTCATTACACTTTTACATGTACCCCTTGAAATTGCGGACACTGATCAGTTCCTCGATTACCTCAGAATCCAGTACAATGGTTTCACTAATAATAAATAAATTAATATGTGCATATTTTCATGCACATTTGAAGGACTTGTCATGAGTCAATACTCATAAATGTCTGCGATTCGATGTCGAATGTGTCTCCAGCCACTAGCAGACTTCGAATATATTTTTTCCTTAATCAGGAACTGGCAGATTTTTCTGGAAAAGCTCGCGTATCTTCAAGGAAAAATACTGCGTCAACTTCTTCAACATCTATACCTGTTGATATTCCTGAACATCAATCGCAATCCTCGTCAAAACCAAGTGCAACTGCCATCCGGCGAAATCGAGGGCGGTTTTCTATTTCATACGAAGCTTTGGTGTGGATCGTATTCTTGGTTCTGACAACACTATGTGTCGTTGATCACTTCGTTCTCCAAGGTGATGCGGTTCTAAAAAGAGGAGGAAAGCTTCCCAAACGCATCTGGGGGACCAACTTGGGCGAGACGATCACCAATGTGGTTTGGGCTGTTACAGCACGTCTCATCATCACGTCCCAGAATCTCATGTTCTACACGATGCTATGGTGCTTCCCAAATTTTATCGCCGAAACCTGTCCAGGGTGGCTAACTGTCGAAGGCATTCGTGAAGTTCACGTGAGAATTCACAGATTAGCAGGTATCTTCCTGATCGCTATTCCTTCGCTTGCCCACGTTCTGGTGATCTTTGTTCCTCCCCTCATAGACGGAACAGCACTCAAATACTACCCACCGAGTAACTTCAACTACAGTTCCTCTCCAGGGCATTTGAATTGGTCCAAGATCTGGGACCCTGCAGCCGTCCAAGGCTGGACGTTCAACGATCACACCGGAGTCCACCTAACCTCTGACGAGATCTACCGATTTGTGCTCATGATCGTGTTGTTTTGCTTACTCTTTCCCCTGAGCAGATCAAATTATCTCAACCATCGAAGCTACTCTTTGGCCATGACATTGCACGCATTTGCTGGGATCTGGTACGCCATTGACAACATTCGGAAGATCACTCACGGACTGGCACATGTCTTCAATCTACCCATCCTCATCATTTGGTGTGTAGACCGAATTCTTTCCATTTTCCTGTATCGATATCACCGGGGTCACATTGTGCGGAAAGAAGTTCTTGGAAACAATGAGTATGTTGTCCTCTATGTGAAACTTGCTAAAAACGTGAAGATCGCTGTTGGCGATGTCTATTATCTTCACCATCAAGTGAGGGACAACACCGGAATTTTGCCTCAGAGGTCGCATCCTTTCACAACGTTTGGAAATTTGTCGCAAGATTCTACCTGGGACATTGGTTTTGTAATGTCGATAATTGATGATGACAAGCAATTGTGCCTCCCTTGGACAAATTGGCTGGCAGAGGTTGAGAAAACGTCTCCTCTGCACGTGTGGGGACCTTATCGTTCGTCTGTTGCGAAGCTGTACCACCAACTTGTTAGAGAGTCAGAAGATATGGGGCGTCCTTCACACTATCTTCTGTTCGCAACAGGCTCCGGATGTGGTTATCTCTTGGATATTTTGAGCTTTCTAGCCCACACAGCACCATCGCAAAGAAGCACACCAAGCCGTAAACAAATTGCGATTGACATCTTCTACTCGGTCCGAAGCAAGGCATTTTATAACTTTTTTCGTAAACCCATTGAAGAGCTACTGAAGAAGATAAAAAACAAGAATACTGCAACGGTCACCTTCCAATTTCACGTCTCTAGTTCGCGAGAGGAACGCAACGAAGCCGATGAAAGTCCAGCTGCAGAAACCCATACCCGACTCATCAATGGTCGAATGGACTTCGAGAAAATTCTGAAGTCGGCTCACAAAAAGTCTCGTTGCTATTTTGTGGGACGGCCAGCCATCGCCCAACAATTGGAAAAGATATGCAAGGGGAAAGGAATAAAATTGACAAAGGATTATACAAATGGAAGAGAAGACCAAAAAGATCGCCCCTTGCTAATCAAATACCTTAAGATAGGTTTTTGGGTTGTCCTTTCCGCTATAACAGTTTGCGTTGTGGTTGGTCTTGTAGCCGATGTTAGAAGCATCAAAAAATCTCTTCAAGGCCATGGTTTTAATGGGACCAGTTTGGTTAGCGCTTTTTAACAACATAGCCTTTCTTATCTTTGAAAACATTTTCAAACTAAGGAAATATCCGAGTATAAGTAACAAATTAGCGTTCGGTAGTTTTAGATAAAAACTGAAAAACACTGAACTTTTTTTTTTAGAAATTTCCCACATGCTGGAAATATGTGGGAACTTGGCACACCTTTATATTTATCAAAACGTAAGAGAACAAAATGAAACAATTTTCTTAATTTTAGGTAGAAAAATTGTTGCTTGGAAACCTCGAAGCAGCCAAGCAACTCATCAGTTGGCTGTTACATTTTTTCCAAATTTGCGCATTTGGGACCACGCCACTGCTCCTTTCTTCCTTCGCGAATCGATCACCTTCTTTCCCGGCCTCCTTGAAAACAACCCAGTTGGCTTTCCTGAGAGAAGTGTGACGTCACGTTACCATGGTACAATGATCTCAACAATCTTTCTTGACAGAGACGGCCACTTGGATTGTCGAACGACGAAACAAACGTATGGGCTACCGTTTTGTTCCTGAGCGCAATCATGCAAAGGAAAGACATACATTTTAGCTGCTATAATTGTAGGAGCACGGTTTGTTGAGATCCAGAAACTTTTCTACCGTAGCAACGTGACGTAACGACTTCGTCTCCCTATTAGGAAAGACAATAATGACACATCCACCCTAGGAAAGGGACGAGGACGTCAGGGCACTGGTCCAACTGCAGCACCCCTGCTGACACGACACAACGAAAACAACCCAAAAGACAATATGACAGTAAAATTGTATGGTATTTGATTAACGCGTCAGGTAGCAAGCATCTGCTGTGTACAGCTGTCGTTTTTTTCGTAGAAAATAGATCTTAGTATACTAGAATAATTTTAACTATCTATGATTAGAGGAATTTCATCCCAACTAAACAACGGCTCCTCACTATCAATGTAATTTAGATTTAAGAAAGAGAATAAACCTCGGCTGAGCTAAAAAAGGCTGATATCTTCGTAATTGATTGCCTATGACAGTGAAAGATACGTGTGCATACAAAGCTATTCGTTACATAGCTATTTCGGTTTTCACATTATTTTTTATAATTTCTTTTTCCCAGCGATAAAATATCTCGGGTGAGCTAGATTATTGACCTATTGAGGACGGGCTTACCAGAACACATCGGCTCTTCATACCGTTTCTCGGAAACTGCCCACCTCCCCCTCCCCTAAGCCAAAATTAACACTTACTTCTCACTTAGGGCAAAATGTTGGCTTAGGAGAGGGGTAGGTGGGCAGTTTCCCAGAAACGTATAATGATCCAAAACGTCAGGCCCTCTGGGCACTTAAACCAAACTTATTTACCCAGTGTGCCCGCTCATAGCTAAACAGAAAAAGAAGGTTTTCGACAAGTTGGCAGATGAAATCATTCCTCAATATCAGTGGTATCGAGGAATGATTTCATAAAGATTTAATAAATTAACAACAACAAAATCTTCTATTACAACTATACTTTGACGACTTAAGTTGTTTCTGTGACTGCAGAAGCTGGTTTCAGTCCTCTTATGGTAAGGTCGTACACGACTTCTTCGATTTTCTTGAGGTCGTATTTGAGGCCGTCAAACTTCTTTCTAAGTGAGTCATTTTTGAGATTTAAAAGTCTGAAACCCGCGTCGAGTTCTGCTACAAACGCAGCTATTCTGAACGGCCGGCCATAATCCGCAGCTGTTACACTATTCACCGCAAACCGCGACTGGAAGAGAAGATAAGAGGAAATTTTAGCCTGGGATATGACGTGTCGTGACACGGCAAGCCACCCGGTCGCCACTTGTAAAGTAATCCGGGTTCCAGATCCCGGAAATCTTTGCTTGTGGAATCCGGAATCCTGGGCTTTGGAATCCGGAAACCTAGTTCCAAATTGACAAGAATTCCGGAATCCAGTATCTAAAATCCGGAATTCGCAGCGTTGAATCCAGAATCCAAGAATGTCTTGGATTACCTTACCATGTGGTGATGCTTTTCTCGCGTGCAGGCGATCGAGTGCAGCAGGCATGCCTTGCATGTATATATTGCCTTTAGGCCAAAACTACGAGCGAGTCCCTATAAAGACTTAGCCGAAATGAGAAACTGCCCAGGGAAAGTATCTTGTAACCACAGTAAAGGCAAGCAGAATATTACGTTTAAATGTAGACTCACCAGCTCATTAGCCAACAGAAGTAGACCGGTTAAAAAATCATCCAGATCAATGTGAAAACCATCAGATGTACTGCGATCTACCTGAACTGAAACGATAAGAGATAAGAGGTCGTTTCTATACAAAGTCGTTTCAATACAAGTTTATTCACTTCAGGTGTAAATAGTTCCAGGTATAGTGCTCAGAGTAACTGGCCTCAAGAACGAAGAATATTCACCCAAAAAGTTTTTCATGTTCACCCGCAAACTATACTTGTATTGATCGAAATTTTTGTGCAATTTCACTTCTTCGTATCGAAACGACTTGAATCGAAACGACCAAACTCCAGATGATAAATCAAGACCGCAGTGATAAAGCTTTTCGCCCATATATTGGGTTGGGTATGTACTTTAGCAAAAAATATTGGCCAGCGCGCAATCTGTAAACGAAACGAAAGGACTTCAACGTGAGCATTTAGGTGAAGTAAAAAAATGGAAGGCATATTATAATGATAAACCAGTGACAAGACTGCCCATTCGAACAGTCCTACACGTCAAGATTGTGATGTAATGTAATGTAATGTAAATGTCGCGATTGAGAGGACAAACATACATGTCCTACTTTACTGTACTGTACTGTACTGTTTTGTAAGTAATGGGCTCGGACATAAATGTCGCGATTGAGAGGACAAAAGGGTCCGCCGATGGCAGTGGGCTCGGACCGCTATCAGTCCATTTATGAGCCCACTGAACTCTCCCAACCCATGATGAGTGATGATGTAAGCGATGAAGATAGACCACAACACCGGAAACTACGTCCCCTACTCTTTTCGAATAGTGTGTGGGTTCTTTAACGTCCCACAGAGTTATATGTGAACAAGGTTTGTGAGACGGGACCTCCGGTTTATCGTCCTTATCCGAGAAGACTTGAAAGTCTAATCATTTGCAGATGTCATTACAAAGACAGCACTTTCTCCTCAGTTATTTTTAAGACCCTGAGTGTTGGTCCGGCCAGGATTCGAACTCGCGACCTCCCGCTCAGCAGACCGGCGCTCTCCAAACTGAGCTAACCGGGCGGCCCGGTAGTGGACTTTTCAGCTATATTAATATAAATGATAACGTGCTGTCTCAGTTTTCTTATCTTTCTTAAAGTGAAAGAGTTTGTTTACAATAACTGAGCGATTTTTCGCCAGTTCATTGATCGAGAGATATGGTCGATAATAGTACAGACCATTGGAATGACGTAAAGGTGGCGTCATTTGTTTCTCTTTTTCTTAGTCGCGCGATATTCTGAGAAACTTCACCGGAAAGGAAGTCAAAAACTGCCAAGAATGATATTGCAAGAAAACAAATGGATAACAATTTCCCACGTTCTATACTCTTATCGACCATAGACATGACGTCAAATTGTTCAAAACTAAGCAGTGAAATCAATCACCTGCGGTTCTTGGTTCCACTTGAGTCTTAAAACACTTCGATGTCATTTCACTTCACTCTCATCCCACTTCTAGGACCCTGCGTAACGTTTCCTTGTTTTTATGTTTTACACATTTTATTCTTTAAAAAAACTCACCTCCAAGCATTTCTGCCAGCTCCTGCCTCGTAATGAGTCTTTCACTTTCTAAGTACAAAATAAACGCACCAAGGAAAGCAAATCTCTGGCTCACAAAGCGCCAATGATCACAAAACCTACAATACGTGTATAAAACATGCAGAGCAAAAGTATGAGAATATCAAAAAAGGAGCACTATTATTTAGCATTACTTAACCTATTTGCCCCTGAGCCGTCCGTGAGGATCCACGTCCTTTCTACACCTTATGACGTCGTTTTAACGGTCAAGGGCAACTTTGTCATCTAACTTTAGCTTGCGAAAACATTTCGGCGAAGAGGGAGGAGAAACGGATGCCTTCGCAGGCTAATCTAACTTATGAAGGGGGACGAGAAACCATACCAGAACGAGCCCAATTCAGTCCAGGAGGTAAGAAAAAAAAAAAAGAAGAAAAGAAGGCGGGGAGGGGCCTCATACAGTGCAAAGCTGACCTGAAAATTCCCATGTAAACCTTGTTCTACTACCCACCTACACTTCCTTCCAACTAATTCTAAGATACTAAAAGCTTCCTCATAAACTCTTTCCACCGAAATGAAACCTAGTATTAATTAATTTATTTATTTATCTTTCCAGCTTTATTGGACTACATGTAAATCTATCTCTAGTGAATGCAAAACAAAGAAAAGAAAACGGGAAGAAGCGAAAGAAGAGGGGGAGAGAAAGCTGAAAGGCTCGAAGTTCCAGCAGAAGCTGGAAAAGAAGGCTACGAAGTTCGCGTCTTATAAACGCTTTGGGCAGTTGGGACAGACAATTCATTTTGTATCTACAGTATGATTATAAGTACTGCTGGGAAAATAATTTGAAAAGACCTTTGAAGATTTATACTTAAACAAGAAGTCAGATAACTAAATTATGAATAATATTTACTGTATCAATAACAATGATGCACCAATTCACCTGTAATATTGCCCTACAGGAATCTTTTCCATAAGATTCTTATATTGTGACTTGACAGTGGAAAACATATGTCTGCTTTTATCACATATCCTTTTAACAACTGCAGAGTAAGACAGGACATGTATAAAGAGAATTAATTTAATCATCACATGTATACAGCATAAATGAGAGAAGCGCAAGTAAATCTTTGGGGCTATTCACAAGGCACATATGATCCATTATTTGGGTTCCAACAGCAACCATCACAATAATTGCAATTGAGCTAGACCCACCAGCACCTTTTCCCACAGGGGGGAGTTCCAAGGTTCCAAGGGGTTCTAGAGAGTGATATGACCAACAAAATGTCAGTGTTTTTTAAAGTGAAGAAGACACCTTATGGTTAAACAATAGTTTCTTAATTAACAACACCTCTAGATTTCAACGATTTACTATTATTTTTATTTTGAGGTATGTCTACAAATGCATGCAACTTGCTATCTCACTTGAATATTCACCAACCCCTTGGTTAATTCTCACGAGGTTTGCAAATTTTGTCAGATTTAACCATTTTTTGTCAAATTTGCAACTTTACAATTGAGGCACCCCTTGACAGGAACTTGGCCAATATCCAGGCATCTTGACCTCATGCTTTGTCAAATTTGATATATATAAATTGATGTTCTAGTTTTATGTTGATAAGGGAGTTGGCTCATGAAGCGCCATGACAAACATGTGTATATACCTTCAGGGTTAGGGGTTTGATGGACTGCTTGTAACACAGCTAGGATTTCTCTTGCTGACTGCTCTAACTCACGTGTTACTGTGCGGATTTCCTGACAGATAATAAATATAAATAGTGGCTGTCAGGTACTTGTAACATAGACCTTGTCATGGTTTTTGATGCCATCTTGACGAGTAGGCAAACTTGTGAGAAATTACAGTGTTTGTATGAGAATCTAATGTCGAATAATTTCTGTAGAATGGCTGTTCTAAAAAAAAAAATATGACTTGTAAACTAAAACTTCACTCCTGAGGATTCTACTGAAATAAATTGAGGGCGTTACATGCCCTAGAAGACCTAGACCCACTTTTTTAAATTTTCTATACATTTGTCTGCAAGAAAGTCCAAGGAAAAATTACAGACAAATATGTGGAAAATCTTAAGCAAGCCTCTGGAGAAATTTAAGCACAGGTACACCCCAAAATTTTGTTTTTTCAGAACAGCCATTTACAGAAATTATTCAACATTAGATTCTCATACAAACACTGTCATTTCTCCCACGTTTGCCCACTCATCAAGATGGCGTCGAAAACGGAGACAAGGTCTATTAAACTGATTGCAACATTTCTTCGTAACTCGAAATGTGGGGTGTAAAATGGGCATCGATGTACTACACATGGGCAATACAACAATCCCTCGCATTGTATCAACCAGGCAACAGGACAGTTCTTCACTAATAGGGCCTGTTTACATGGAAGTAAGGGAGCCTAGGTAGATAATGGGGCCAGCTTAGGTGAGGCAACCTGCCTGTCCAAATAATCTCTCATTTTAATTGATTGTATTTACATGATAGGTGGGGTGACCATATGAGAGATTATATGGACAGGCAGGTTACCCCACCTAAACAGCTTACCTCACCAACCTGGGCTACCCCACCTCCATGTAAACAGGCCATTAGTTCTACATGTACAGCTGTATACTTGCCATGTTAAGCAAAATTGGGCTGACATGATCATAAGTAAGTTCTTACACTTGAAACTTCCTGGAAGATGGACCGACCTGCCTATTAATTTTAACGCTCCCATGAGATTGCGTGACAGCCTTGTCACGTGAACTTTTTACTTGTCAGACTGACGATTCGCAGTTCTCGATACACTACACCAAGATTGATTTTTGTTTTAAGCACTAACTTTTCAAAAGGTTTGTAAATCAGTTCCTTCATGAGGCACCATCTTCCTACTTCCAACATTAAAACACTAGCTTGAGTATCGGGCCTTCCTGAGGGGATTAGGGAGAGGAGATTTTGAAACACGTGTACTGTTGTAACGCAACATGTGGCGCGATATTTCAAAAAACGGTTTGGGCTCTACATGATACTTTAACTCCACAAGTGCACAGAGTATTCTCATCCTACCTCTCTTATTTCCTGGTCAGACGACAAATATTCCTGGAAGGAGGCAAATAAGGAAGTCACAGCCTTGCTTTCTGCTTCATTCCTCTCGCCCGTCTCCGACTCCGCCATCTTTGAATGAATCAGTGATTACCACATGAACAGCGGTAATTCATTGTTGATTGTGCGCATTGGATCTAAGTTTCAAAGATGGCGTCCTTGTCAACAATCCACGACAGATAATTTAATATTTTCCTAGGTTTTACCTGGTTTTAGCTAAGATGAGAAAAGATTGATTTCCATGGCATATACGAAGCCGCAAAAAATGTCGGAAAGGAAATCTATAAAGAACACGGTAAGTTGGCACTAACAAACTTTACAGATGTTACCCAGTCGCTTCAGAGATTTTCGGGTTCCATAAGCTTATTTGTCCTCTTCTGTAATGCTACCCTTCACTATCAAGCCAAATATAAGCTGCAAAGCATTAATTCTCTGCGTGCAAAAATAAAGACTGTCTGACTGGAGGATGTATTTATTTTACAAGCTTTTATTTGAAATAAAATGTGGAACTCTTGACGGTAATCCAAATAAATGGGAACAACAAAAAAAGAGAGCGATGATGGTCATTTGACACTGAAGTTATAGCCAGTAATGTTTTCGATGGCAGAGATGACAGTAGTGTTGATGCCAATGGGGATATTGATGATTGTCATGGAAAATGACTATTACATCGATGATGATAATGATGATGACAGTGATGATTGTGATGTGTAGGAAAAGTGTGAATGTTTAGAAGCTCCATTATCTTGTGTATCGGGATGCAGTGCCATGAGTTGTGTAGATCGTGCCTCAAAAGACATCTGTCAGTAACAGTTAACCTCCAAGTGATGATTCAGTGATAAGAGTTTAAGTTAAAATACAGAATGCAATCAAGTAAATAAACTTAAAATTTGTTGTGAATAAAGTTGTATTACTTTACCTTTTCATTCTTCCCTAGTCAAGTATGGCTCTTGCTGCTGTAGCTTTGCAGGATCACATGGCTCGTTCACTATCCCTTCATGATCCACTGAAGAAAAAGAAAATTAACCACAGCTTACCTGTGAAAAATAGCAGAAATTTAACATCAAAAGAAAAATGTAGCAGGAAAGATGAAGATCAGAAAAAAGAATATGTTCTTGATCCTAAACCAGCTCCACTGACATTAGGCAAGTGTAATGCAGATGTTGTGGTTCAATTTAATCCTTGGTTTAAATTTTTCTCTTTATCATACAATCATTATCATACCCAAAAACAAAAGGAAACAAAATTTAAACCATGGATAAAATTGAACCACAACGTACATTTTGCAATATAATATACTGATAATAATTTATAATCTTAATTATGCAAATATCTCTTCCAGATTACCTAGCGGTTTCTAGGGTATGGCACCAATCTCCTGGTCTCCCTTATAAGTCACCAAATTTCCCAATGTCTCAATCAACCTTTGAGCTTTTTTTGTGTGTCAATTTTTAATTTAGTGCATATTTATCTCAAAATCTAAAAATTTCTTTCATGCACTCACAGTTTTTGTGGCCATCATTTACAAAACCAACAGTATTTCGTACACCTGTAGAACCAATTTTGATGGTCTGTATTAGTTTATTCATGTTTGTGGGCTCGTTTACAGAGATATGTAATGTGTTTGGGTATGAGGTCGATTTATTCTGACCATGGACCAGAGAATCGAAGGAGTGGTTTTATCGTGGATATTTTTGAGGGTGGGGTAATGCAAATGAGTCTACAGATTTAAGATCTCCTGATGTTGGCATCTCTGGTTCTGTTAGCAGTATCTCAGTCTTGAATGTGCACTCGTGTCCAATACACACGAACTAAGTCAAGTCGTCTGTCATCAAAGTCGACCAGTCTACTGAAAGTCAGGTCGTGAGATGCCAAACGGAAGTAAAACTCGATCTTCGGAAGTCAACATCACTTATCTGCTCCCCCATATAAATCTTGATGGATCGTGTCGGATGGTGACAGGTTGTATGACCCAAATTTGTTTAAGTCTCTCGCCACCCAACAACCAGAAAGTCGGGTCAACTATTTCCCTTGATGGGTGATCACCACCCTTTTCCCTTTAAATCCACAACCTGACTTCTGGTAGACGGGTCGACTTGAACGTCATACGACCTGACTCAGTTCGTGTGTATTGGACAACCCTTGGAATGGGGGTGATAAAAAATTGACCCAAGTTTTTGCAAAAAGAGTTGGTATTGAGGGTTTCAAATCCATACCCTGTTTAGGATAAAAGGAAACTTACAGCATAGTTTTCAACCATCCCCTCGATTGATAACAAGAGTATCAGGCTGCTGAGGCCCATATACATCTGTAAAATCAGAATCATAGCTTCTGGTTAAATACAGTGGTTGTAGCTTTGGCTCCTGTGTAGAGTTTTGAGAGGCGCCTTTTAATCTCATTCAATTTTTCCAGAGCTCTCTCTAAATCAGGAGAAATCAGACAAAATATTGTCTAGTTGTTAATTAACAATTTTACAATTATATAGCTCAGAAACTTGGCCTTGTTGAAGCTCCAGAAGTTTTACTATCTGACAAAGAATGGAAAGAAGTGAAGGAAAAGTCAAATGCCAGACAAGACTCCTCACAGCCTTGTGTTATCTGCAAAGAGGACTTTGGACTTCAACAACAAGTAAGCCGTTTAGATCAGTATGGATGCACAGGCATCCAATCCTCTGTGTTTTGTTCAGTTTTTATCTTGCTTTTTAAAATAGTAAAAGTGGATATAATGAATTATATTTTAACTAGCCTTGTTATTAAGGAGACAATCTAGTTCTGTTCAAAATAATTTATTGTGGTCAACAAGAGGAGCCCACTGTGACAACCCTGATCTCCAGGTTGTTATTACCTTACTCTCTAACTCTAAAACTTGCCTTAAAATCCTTGCTATTTCTAGTAGCATAGTGTTTTGAGTAATGAAATACTAATTCTTATGTTCAACTTTTCCAGCCACTTATATCCAAGTCTTTGTCACACTTCCCAATGATCCTACAAGGATCAGTATCGCCTTCACAATTCTCATGTCCCACATCCTTGCAATTTCTCTTTAAGCTCCTGGTATTTTTGAAACTTCTCATTCTCCTTTTCACTAATTCTCTTATCCCCTGTTAGAGCAATATCGATAATGGTACACTTTCTCTCCTGTTCAGTTTTTTACAACAACAAGGTCCGGTCTTCTAGCCTCAATGACTTGGTCACATTGGATGTTCGTATCCCATGTGCAGTAGTTTAACTTCATTGTTTCACTTGAACTGTCAGACACTTGTTCATACCACTTTTCTTTTTTTTTCTTTCTTTCTTTTTTTTTCCAGATGACATTTCTTACATAACTTCCAATGGACTACTTTTGCAATATAATTGTCATGTCTCTGTTTTTGGGGGGATTCTGCCGTCTTGTCAATATTATGGTATACATATAGTTGGTTCTGAGAGCTTTTTCCTGGCCTGCATGAGTAAGTGCTTGTGTTTGGATATTCAAGTCTGCTTTTCATAACCAGCTCCAAGTTTCTCTTGCATGCATTGTTTCGGTTGTTTCTCTTACAGCCTCTTTTCCTTCCAACTGTTGCATTTTCATTGTTGCGAGATGTCTTGGATTCATCTTTACTGACAGTTTCCTCACTTTCAATTACCCCCTAATCACTATCATTAAAAAAATATGGACCTCTTTTTACATATTTTGGTGATGTTGTTGGCAGCATCATTAAGATTATTCGACCACCTCCCAGAATACTTGTATATTTCAAGGGAAAAAAAAATGAACGAAATCTTTAAACCTTTTCCTCAATGATAAAAATGCCACATAATGCAAACTCTACATAATAATTATACTGTTAAACATTGTAAAACGTGGAAGAACTGTGACTATTTTTGTTTGCATACACTCTTGTTGAAATTTTTTCTGCTTTATGTTTTAGGTGTTGTTATCCTGCAGTCATGTTTTTCATAGGGTGAGTTAAAAGAAACCTGTTTTGTTTGCAAACATTTTTTTTTGGCGATATTGTGATGTTCAAAGTACACGTACTGTATTGGATGTTTGACATTATTTCTCAAGCAAAGTGGCTTTAGAAGAAGACATGAATTGTTTTTTGCGTTGATTTTCAAAAATTCAATATACATTAATATATCCTTTGTACATGTATGTTGATATTTATTTATTTTATGCATTTATTTATATATTTATTTATTCACCTGCAGACTTGCTTGGAAGCCTTTGAGAAGTTTTCAGGTCGCAAATCATGTCCAATGTGCAGGAAAGAGCAGTACCAAAGGCGGATAATCCATGAAGGAGCACGAGAGTACAGAGTTAAATGCGCAACGAGGTATGTGACTGTTCTGCCATAGCTTGATTTACGGCATTCTTTAAGACTGATGGGCTAGTTACAGTCTCAGACAAAAAAGGTTGGGACACTTCCACTGCCGAACGCTGATTTTTTCTTTCCCTTCTTTCTCCTCTCCCTCCCAATGTTGTTTATCGAACTTAACCAGGGGCACCCAGCGAGAATATAGTACAAAACCACTAAAACATAGTATTTTTAAACGTATTTTAGTATTTAAACGGTAGATATAGGCATATTTTTTTTTCACCTGTTCGGATTTCCTAGCTGAAAGTCTAGTGATCCGAAAATTATAGGGATCAAAACTTACCTTTTCGATAATTTCAGTCAGAAAAAAGGTTCCCGAAAATTCTAGGTGACCTTTTTAGGGTAAAAATCCTTTAAAATGGGCAATTATACCATTTTTTAGATCCTCGAAAATCCTAGGAGAGGCAGGCAAGCAATAAATTTTACAACAAATATTCTGAAAGTTCTAGATCTCAAATCGTCTTCCGAACAGAAATTTTCCGAAAATTGACGTTGGGTGCCCCTGAATCTTGCACACCAACATTAGGAGGGCGAGAAGACATTCAAGTACCCCCAACAATTTTGACTGAGACTCGAGTTTGACAGGATATATATTTTGCCGGCGAGGCGGGAGCAGCAGTATTATTTTTTTTGAAGAAACACTGGAGAGCCTGTCGGGCACTTACTTAGCCTGCGTAGCATGGCGGTTTTGTCGAGCCGGGGGCACGAGCAGCGAAGCCGCGAGAAAAATATTCAGGTAGCTCCTGCCCCAATCTCCTTGCGGTATCTCTGCCCTCGCCCGCCTTTATTACTTAGCGCGCCCAACCAAAACCGCCTTGCTACGCAGGCTAGCACTTACTTTTCAATCTGAAGCAGCTACATGAAATTCAACAACTTCTCGATGGTATCCGGTCTACCTCGCCACCAAAACCTCTCGCCACCAACGAAATTGCCACCAAGAAATATATATCTAAATACTTATCTAAAGGACAAGTCTCTAAAAGAAATTCTTTGACTTTAGATTTGCAATGAAATTTAAGGAGGTAAGTTTCAAGTGACAATACATGTATTAACCAACTTTCATAAGAAAGGCTGTTGGATTCTAAACACTGAATCGCACCTCTCGAACAATGCAAATAAGTAAATGGTACTTTTAAAAATGGTATTAAAAAGTCGCGGTTATTTAGAAAAAAATAAAACTAAAGATGGCAAGTTCGACGCAAGGTGTCAATTAAAATCGATGGACAAATATTTGGGCTTGAGGAAGAAGTAAAAATCCCAGGTAAGTAAACAGTGTCAATTATTGCAGAGTTACTGTATTACCTGGTGGCGAGTAGACTTCTTGGTGGCGATTTCGTGCCATTTTTTCTCATGGCCCATCTCAAATTCGACCAGCCCCCCCTCCCCCATCCCACCCCCGTTACCTGATAAAAAAGTAAACGGTGACTTAGAACCCTGTGCGCACGTTCATCATCATCATCATCATCATCATCATCCTCTTCATCATCAATCTTAATTTATACACCAAATCGTGTCACTTTTACATGGTCTTCCTAGGAATCGTGTGTAAAATTATACTAAAATACTCTAAGAAACTACTTGACTATAAAGTTAAAAATACAAAAACGTATATTATAATAAGACTTACAATACAATACAATACAATAACTTTATTTAAAGAGGAAAGCGCAATAACCTATTACAGTTTTCTAACTTACAGTTACAATGAGTCACAGTGTATTAAGATAATCTTTCCCATGAAATGAAGTTTTGAAAACATTTAAACTAGGCAAGTTTCTAATCTCCGAGGGAATCTTGTTCCACAGAACAGATCCTCTGTAATGTAGTCTCCCTTTTGCACGTTGTTCTCTTGCCTACATAGTACGTGAAGTCGTCTCCGTGCCCTTTTAGCCAAAGAAGCACACGAGTAACGAGGGCTCCTATGTTTTCGCCTTCCCTCGCGTGTCTCTAGTCTTTCTAAAAAGTCCTTCGTCGGATTTAATATGGCGTGGGACGAAAACTCTCTCGACTTCGTCGCTCGGTCTGCTGAGCGCGCTACGCTCGCCAAACTCGTGAGGTCGACTTGTAGCAAGTCTAGCGTGTCTCCTACACTTCTCCCACTTGGCTAAAAGGCAATGGAAACGTCTTTTACGCGGGATAGCTCTTCCCAGGTTGGGCATTTTGTTTTGCCATTTATGTTTTTTGGTTGGTCTTTGAGCAGAATTCAAGCTGCATGGCGTGGTTACTTAGTACGTCAGTGGTACAAGAAGCTGAGAGAGTCTGTTCCCCCAAATGATCCCAAACTGCGAAAAAAGTTTTATGAAGACAAGGTAAACTTATTTCCCATACACACGGCAAAAAGCTACAAGTGTCTATGCAATTTGCTGATTTTTTGCCTAGCATAGAATTAACAGGTATAGAGCTTTTAAAATTTAAAGGTTAGTCCTTTGGGTTTACTTCAGGGCGACAGTTTTTCAAATATACCAAACATGTTTCGGGCAACACTATCAAGCGTAGATGCTGCCAAATATCGAGGAGATTTCATTAATGATGCCAACACACGATTTCGTCCACATATGAAACTTCATACTATTCTAAAATTGATAGTGCTACCATTATAACTAGAACTACACACTAAATGAATAGTACCACGTTAACAAGAGGTTTCATTTGAATATATAGTCACACCGTAGTATATCATCCACGGACTCAAAAGTTAGAATTACAACTGTACGCACTAAATATATAGCATCATGTTAAAGTACTGCTGAAGAGGTTTGATTTGAATGGTAACACCATAGGATTTCATCCACAAACTCAAAAGTTAGAACTAGATTCTAAACAGGTAGTACGATGTGAAAGTACGGTTGAAGAGGTTTAATTTGAATGGTCACACCATCACTTGGGATTCTGTTTCCAATTGTTAAAAGGTTTATTTTCTCAATGCACACCACGTACTGGAATGTAATTTTGTGGCATGTACTATTTTCTTTGTAGTTCCATAGCATTAATGCCCGGCTTCTGCAGTCAATGGAGGCCAGAAATCAGAGTGTTGATGAGCTGCTATCAGAGATTGACCAATCTATTGCTGCCAGTCGCCATACAATGAGGTGATGCAAGCTATTGACCTCCATACCTAAAACAATTATTAGATTCCGTTTCTGCGATATGTGGAATAATCAAGGTCGACATTAATGAGACAAAGCGTTTCCAGCCAAAGCTGGTACATGTTTAAACACTAACCGAGAGACCTTGATTAGTACGGAAATCGAAAAAACCGAATCTACCGACTGTTTTGAAAAACATAACGAAACAAACACCGTCGCACTGAACATAGTTTACTATATTCCAAAACGAATATAGCCTGCGTGTAGCGTCTCCACACAGGCAAGAAAAGAATAGACATTGCTCTTGGAAATAAAACATTGCCCGCGCAACCAACAGTGTTAGTTTAGCCTTTACACAGACATTGTTTTCTTTTGCTTTTCGAAAACCGACGAACACGCGAGCTCGCGAGCTCGCGAGAAAGAAAAAGAAAGAACTATTTTTTTTCCGCTAGCGGTCAAAAAATCCCCGCGGTTTATTTTTTTGTTTTGTTTTATTCATACGCACCCTCGATGATCTCTTAACACAGTGAATAAGCTAGTGTTATACAGTTAATTGCTTCCTGATAATCTGAAGCTTGCGGTGATTTCCAGATAGACTTATTAATTTTATTTTTTATTGGTGAATTTCGCGCCAAACAGGTATTAAAAGTCCTTTATTATTATTTTTCTTCCTGGTTGGTTATGCCATTTTAAAGGACTTTTTATACCTGTTTGGCGCAAAATTCACGGGTCGAAAATTCTGCCAGTTACGTCATGCTAATTGACCAATAGGACAGTGAATGATATTTCACACCTCTCCCGACACAGCATATGTGGATCATTTTTTTTTTCGCGTAAATTTATAATGTGATTCAAATCCATTCGGGCGAAACATGTCGACTTCGAGACTTTGTCGCTCGCTCGGTCGCTGCGCGACCTCATGTATTGAAGCTTGCTTTGCTAACTTTTAAGATCTTATGAGAGGTCGACTTGTAGCAAGTCTAATTTCAAAAATTAACTGTAGGCTTTTAGTCAGTTAGAGGAAAGGGAGTGAGTACCAGGACAAACCGCGAGCATTTGACTCATTGGTGGGCACGGCAAGGGATTGGGGGGGGGGGATACTTGACAACGTTGGTTGGCACACTGTAAATGCATTATGTTAAGAATTCGCCTGGTGTTAGGGTTGGAAAAAGTTGTCCGAGAATTTCGTTTCAAATAGACTACCTCGATGGAATTGTTGGAGTAGAGATCAAAGCTTTGCAGAATATCAGGAAAAGTGTGTTCTTTTCCGGTTACTGGGAAAGGGTGCACAGTCGAACCTCCAAATGCGATCACCTCTCGTAAGCGACCACCTTCCATAAGCGACCGCCGAAACAAAACACACAAATTTTCCCGGTCAAAGCCTTACAGTTGAAACCTCTAGTAAACGACCACCTCCTGTAAGCGACCACGACCTTTTTTGTGGTCTGACGGTTGATGAATTTCCATTGCTTTTAACCTCTTGTAAGCGACCGCTTGACACATTCTCTGATCTCTATGTTCGCTGTCTGCACTAAGCTACTTAGAATATACGAAGAACTTTAGTGACAACATGGAACTACACATGGCATAACGTAGACATTGATGCAATTCAATTAACTTCTATGGTTCGATTCTTGTAAGTGACCACTCAGTCTTTGCCTTTTGTGGTAGTCGCTTACGGGAGGTTCAACTGTCCAAAAATTGTGTTGCGTTTGTAACTTTATTAAAATGCCCCAGGGTTGTCCTGCCCGCTATTCTTACCTTAGGGTGGGCTGGGGTGGGGTATATTGATACCCAAGGGATTGGAATGTGAACAGTTCGGTTGTCAAACGTTCAAACGGGGTATGTTGAAGTTCGGAATCTACCAACAGCATAGATACATATTCTCTACACTCACTTACTCCCCAAGAAAGTCGGCGATGTGGTATAGTATTGTAAGTCTAATTTATACTAATAATAGACGCATTATTTTGACTGTTTCTTTTCAGGCAGCTTGATAAAAACGCTGAGGAATTCATAGAAGAAACAGACTGGGAGCAAGTTCAACTTCAGGTGAGTGCCGAAACAATGGGAAGTTTTCGCAGGAAACGATTTACCCCCTATCTCGGTTGGTGAGCCTTGTATTTGTTCGATGTCTGTCATGGATGAAGTGTAGCCTATCTGAAATGTTTTTTTTTTTTACTTTTTTTTAGGCTGTACAGCGTTGTGTGACGGATTGTCCAATATGTATCATGCCGCTTACATCCAAGGGACTCTACAAAAAGAAGAACCAATCTCGCCCCACTGTTCTGCTGTCGTGTTCACATGTGTTCCATGCCACGTGCCTGGATGCATTTGAAGAATTCTCACTCGACAGAAAACCAGTGTGTCCCGTGTGCCGATCACATTATTACAAGAAACTTCTGTAGCGGATGAAAATTCTTTTTATTCTTGTACAACAGTGATAATAGTATATTTTCTCGACTGATCACGACTGTCGAGAAGTAAACCCGTTTGTCCGGACCGCGAGATCATGTTGTCTTCCATCTGGACAAGGAACATTGCTTGTTATTTCTTTTTCACTTATTTGGTGGATGGACGAAGAAATCTTCCCACTCTCCTCGGGTTTTGAATTATTAATCCTTCAAGTCCTTCAGGTAGCTGGCTGAACAATCTTGCATTTGTTGGTCAAAATTTTATCTTAATTGATTGAGCGTTTTGCATGCAAAGTTTATGGCTAAACGGTCAAACATGCTCTTTTAACACGGCATTGGACGAAGGTATGTGTGTGAAGACTTGCAACATTTCTTGAGTCCGAGTTTAGCAGAAGAGCTGGTTTGCTTAAATGTTATACATTTCTCAAAGATAATGTATATTAGTAAACCGTAAGTCCTTTGATGTAAAACATTGCGACGCTTGAAGCCGGATTAAATGCCCGCAGTAAATTACCAGCATTGCTTTATTTCTTAATTTATTTATTTAAGGAAGGAACAGCTTACAATAGGTAGATTTTGTGACATGAATTGTGCAGTCATACTTCGATACTCCTTTGGCGTTACGTGTTATCAGTGACATTCTGCGCAGCAGTTGTTATGAAAGTAATGGACCAAAAGACACTCGTTAAGCGCAGATGAAGTTATAAGGTGCGTAGAACAGTGTATATTTTAATACTAAGTGAGTATGCCAGACACGAGTTCACAAATCTTTTATTGGAAACCTTCAGCGGAACCTTATTGCCAGACAATCTTTCTCTTTCTCTGACCATAAGACTCGGCCCAAAACAAGCAGGACGAGTGAATGATTCAACGGCTAGTTTATCACTAGCAAAACGATGGACGATTACACCACAGAAATTCGCCGACCATCAAATTCTGTGCTGACTTATTCCCTGCTCGCAAGGCAGTGTCCTTCTGCTATAAAGTTTAAAATAAGACTAGAATGCGCGATCGTAAATTGATCAAACGTCTTTTTAATTTCTAAGGCTTACTTTCCGGCAAATGAAATGAACTAAATGTAAAAAGTGAAATAGAAATAGCGTAAAATCAAACTTCTAATTAAATCTTTTCTTATGGTTTAGATTAAACTGTTCTCGAAACTGAGGATGTTTTGATCAAAGCTGTGTAAATCGAACCGAAACTGTGCATGGAACCTTGCGTTTATTTCCTGTAAATTATCTCACCTATTGTATGAAATATGTGTGAACATCTTCATGACTCGGCATATTTCAAAGAGCTACACAACGAGTAAGAATACTATTGACCGACAATATACAGAGCGGGAGCAGCTGTAGTGTCAACTACAACTGTCAACCTTCTGTCCGTCTCTCGAAGCAGACGGATACGGTGTTGGACCAACCTAACTGAGCCAGACGTCGAACTTTTCATGAACTTAAATCACTAAGTTTGATTCGTCTCGGCGAAAAGTTCGCTGTTTGGCCTAAGCCTGAGTTGCCTGTGTTCGTTACATTCTAACACTGATGTACGCGATAGTATTCCAGCTCTGCTTGCTCTTCTCACAAGCGCTGTGATCCTCACGAAAAGAAAGAATTCGATGACCCATTAATGAATTTCGCCACCTTAATCGATCAGACCTCTTTTCTCTACTCTGTCCCTAGCTCCGTAAGTAGCTAGAGCAGGGATAGACCGAATCCCGATGGGCCTGGGTACGACTGCAACGGAGAACAAAATTTTGCTTCCTTTACCCCGCGTGGTTCTCTTAATTTCCTTTCCTGGGGATAATTTTCAGTAGGGAAAATGGGTCATCCCTAACACGTCTAATATTCACCCTTGGAGTCTGACTAATCGCTTATGAACTTTCAGCCGACCACGCTTATTGCTGTAGTTATTACTGTTTTACCGTCCTAACTTGCCATTTGTTACCAAACCATTTTAGCCAACCTCGTTCCCATCGTTTTTCCTTTAGAAAATGTAAGGGACTGGAAAAGACCGTCCTCTTATTTTCAAAGCGAAAAGGTCCTGAAGACGACATTTATTGAGTAGTGAACAGACTTAATTTTCGTAGTGAAATGAACTGTTTTCGTAAAAGTACCAGTCAAAACACCCTATGAAATACAATTCTTATTGCATGGCTATAGCATTATCTAACACTCTTTGTTTATTGGAGAGTTTGTTTAGTAAACTTTAGATTGGTCCTCGAAAGTACAATAGCACTTAGTTATCAATTATCTTTGTTTACTCATCCATAAATCCTCGTGTTTGCATATCAACGAGTCAGTAAGCGTTAAGTACACAGATTGCCATGGCAACCGCATGGTAGTTCAGTTAATATTGTAAATTAGAGTGTAAATTTACAAAGTGCACTAAAAGTACTTCGAGGTTAGTGTAAAAATGTCCGATGATCGACTCTTTACAACGAGCTACAGATATGAAGTTCCTAACTCAAATGCACAATTTCTTCGCAGATCGCTAGCGTTGCAGCGGTCGCGAATTGAGGTAAGATCAAATTCTGAAAACCCGAACTTTGGAGGTCCCTCTCTCAGTAATGAACAAACAAAGATTACTACTAGACTACTGCATCTCTAGACCTCTCCTCTTTACGGCTCTTTTTTATAACCATCGGAAATGTACATTAACACCTTTTCACTGCAAGAAGTCTTGGAGGATGGCTCTAACTTTTCGGTCTGGGGACAAATTGCTGTGGTGTGACCATCCAGATGAAACCGTTTCAGCAGTACTTTCTCATGGTACTATTCATTTGTTAGTATGACTAACTTTTGAGTCTGCGGACGGCAAAATTCTGTGGAGTGAACATTCAAATGATTTCAGCTTTGGTAGTTAAGTACTTGAAGAAATTAAGAGATTTAATTAAGCGTACAATGTGCTAGATTCGGTTACCACCATAGATAGCGGCGAAATTCGAACCTAACAAAATGTATGCACATAATTTAGCTTATCTTAATCTAAACTCACTTTTCGTTGTCGTTTTTAACAGACAGATGAAAAGATTGCAAGTCGTATAGACGCAGAAAACAAGTGCGTAAGACGCTCATACATTCTGAACTATGTAATCTTTCTTAATCAACCAACATTTGGCCGGGGAAGGAATGAGGGGGGCCCGTATAATTGAAGAGGCAAGCTCTCTCCACAAAAAATAAAGAAAACCAAACCAAACAAACAAAACCACTAAAAACGCTGATTGTTGGTGTGTTTGAAAATAACGATTTGATTTGATACTTTACAGCTAATAAATTTTCACTCGATTTATGGCCTTTAAGCACATGGAGGGGAATTAGACCATTAACGAAGCAGAGACAAAGAGATGCATGATTCACGAGAGACGGTGCATAAACTGAAGAAACCGTCACGGCGAATTGGCGGTCACCTGACTTCACCTTGATACGGAACGTTTCTATGCTTCCTAATGTGTGTTGGTTTATTTCCCCTTAGGGTTGCCAGCGAATTGGAGAGGGCGCGATGGTTTACCAGCTTAGAAGAGGTACAGTTATTTTTGCTATGTCGTCGGTTTAGCACGACCAATCGAGGCACTGCACAACACTGATTCCACAGTTTCCAGAAATTGTGATTGATGCGATCGATTGATAGTAAAACCTTTGATCGATAGTCATCGACCAAAAAAACTAACTCTTTTGAATTTGCTTTTCAAACTGATATGCCATTTTGTGGAGCTGATATCTGATTGCAGTGTCATTTATGTTTTCAACAGGATAGTGAAAAAAAAAGAGAGAAAAGGAATTCTGAAATGATGGACAGTGAGCTTAAGACGGCAAACGAAGAGTTCATGAAGGTATCAAAATAAGTATCACTATGAACAGTATATATCCAACTGTTCGTGTTGGTGGTTAATCTCTTTTCAGTGTCTGTTTGGTCGAATTACAGTTAAATAGGCCCTTTGCAGCACTGGGACAGAAGAAAAAGAAAGATCGCATCATTTAATATGGTAATTTACTTACTTTTTCTCCAGGTGCTTCTCTTGCTCTCCAGCCTGAAAAAACATGGAGGTTTTGCAACCTCGTTCAGGGTTCTCTCGAGGCAAGAAAGAGTAATGGGCATTTTTTTTTTTCCTTTTTGAATTTAGTTCGGCCGCAGTAAAGATCAGCGTCTGAATCAAATTAGCTGACCTAACTTATTTTGAGTGGGCCTAAATTTGGCAGGCTTTAGACAGTTACATACAATTTTTTACATTTTAGTAAAGACAAAGCTTGGTCTTATAGGATAACGTTTTCGGTTTGAATCTACTAGTTTGGTCGCGTCAATTCTTGGTTAAACAAGGAGGAAATCCGAGGGACCTAATAATAATCACCTCTTACAAAGTCGTTGCGAGCGGGTAATGATCAGCACTTACTCGCCTCTGGCCTATCCGGGTAATGTTTGCTTATGGAATCCGAAATCCTGGGCCTTGGAATTCGAAATGCAGCTCAAGGAATCCGGAATCCCACTAACGATTGGATTCCAGAATCCAAATCCACTGTCAAAGACTGTAATCCATTACCTGGAATGCGGACTCCAACGCGTGGAATTCACAATTAATCCAAGACTGCTTTGGATTCCATTACATAGGGCAAACTTACAATTATCGATACTTCACATTCAAGCAAGTATTGATGTTTTTCGTTGATCCAAATACCGATTAATATTATCAATTTACGTTTTCTTTCCTGTTCACTGTAGGTCCGACGAGCACAGTTGCAAAAGTTACTACTGGACGAACATCTGCAGTACGAAAAAGAACTCAACGGCACAGGAAAAGCTTTCTATAAAAAGAGAATTTAGGAAACCATTAATTAATATTTCTGATCTGTTCAATTATCTTATCACCTTGTTTAGAGAGCGTGCTTTCCATTACTATCAGTCAATCATTTTGTTTTTAGTTTTTGGACAGATAGATCTTGGCACTGAGTGTCTATATTTAAAACTTATAACTGGATCCCGAATCGAAGGACATGATTGCGTTCTCCATATTATTGTAAAGATTTCTGGATGATAGTAAATTTTTAATTTTTGAGAAAAAATAATCCATCCGTACAAACTATTCATAAAGCGTGAGCGAGAAAGTTAAGGCTGAAAAATGTTTTTTTTTTTCTTTAACTAACATGATTTAAACAGCTAAAAAAATATACATTTAATATCGATTTTTTTGGTGGTGCGATTGTTAGAGAAGCACATGCACAGACGTAATTACCAGGCATGCGCAGATAGCGTTACCCTGATGATTATCCCAGTAATGCTAGTGTATCCACAGGGAGCCCAGACTCACAACAGGTTACTGGAAGTCTAATCACAGGAATTTCTATGGACATTTATCATAAGATCAATAAAACGGTTAAAATGCTCATAAACATCCATTAAAGTGTATATACATCATAAAGAGTTGTGTCTGCGTTGTTTTCGTACAGTTAAGTGAGAAACCAAAACATCAAAATTAAACTTGCTAAAATGGCGTTTACAGGGCCGTAAACTAAAGAATTTATGGTCCCGTAGACATAAGAATTGTGTGGACAATTTCTTTACCCTAGGCCTGGTTCATAGCTAGCCATCTTTAAGCATAGCCTGGTGTCAGGGGCCCATGGGCTCCTGCTGGTGTATATGACTTTTCATGCATTTCCGGCTGGAGTGTGAACCTTAGTCTGTTCCAACCTTGTTCAGCCGAAGTTTGCAAGCCTATTATAGACTACAATAATAGGCACCTAAGTGGGCACCTTACCTAGTCCCTGTACGGCGTTTTCCCAGTCCCTCTCGGCCAATTGACTTCGGTGACGTATACGAGCTTGGGTCACGTGAAGCAAAACGTTTTGGGGGTCGCGCGGAATAATGAGGCCGAGGGACTAGGCAAGCAGGCACCCAAAATCCCTGATTACAATTAAAATTTGTCTTTGTGTTCTTAGCGCTAAAACGTTTGAAAATCCAGACGTTTGCGGACTACTGTCCCTTCATCAGTGGAAGATGCCGTTACACTGAACGCGCGTCATTTTATTCAAATGTGGCAACATTTGAAGCGCGCGCTGGAAGAGTTCGCTCAAATAAAATTGAAGTCAATGTTTATGCCGCGCGGCTGTAGAGTTTTGCATTTAAAAATTAGACGGCCCTCCGCTGTACGTCTGTCCCTGGTCCCTGCTCTGTCCCTGTCCCAAAATCCCTACACGTCACGTCACGTCACTGTTTGTAGGCCGTTTGTTGGGGAGGAGTGTGCGTGGCGAGACAGAAACGGCTGCGAGGGAGACGATACTGCATCTGTTAACGACTCCCACTTCAGACTATTCCCTGTCGTTTCACAACCCTACTTTTCATGGTAGTATAAACCAGTCAAATAGCTTATAGGATGATACTCCCAACACATTATCAAATATAAAACACAAACAGCGGTGATAAACCCCCGGGTGATAAACATTTTGAGCTTTCGCATTTTTATAACTTGATTTTTCGTATGCTTTTGATCAACATACATTTTCAAGCGTGATCTGAAAGTGACCGTTAAAGATGATGACGAGACTATATATACAAAAATTTTCAACGGGTCTGGAAATGAGATTAAGAATTAAAAATTCTTACCAATAATGAATACAAAGCATCAGCTTTTCACTGCTGATGTTGACATTAATCTAGCTGTTTTGCCAGATGCTAAAATTTCAAAATGATCCCACTTAATGTTACTGTGTCCGGTGGCAGTGACATGGTCAGCAATAGAGTGATCATTATTTGTTAGGGACTTGAAGTGTTCAGTCTTTCTGTCATGGAGCCGTCGCTTAGTTTTACCAATGTAAAAATCACTGACAATTCCAACAACAAGCGATTTAGGCGGTCCTTGTATGAAAAGAAACATTTACGGCAGTGTTTTGAAAAAATATCTTTAAATCAACCCAAGAGTAAAACTGGTAAATGCAGGATTTTAGGCGCTTAGAAATTTGGTTGCGGGGTGATGACCTAAATAGAAAAAGTAACAGAATAATAACATCCTTCTTAGGAACCATAGCTACAGGGCCATCTCGCTTGTTGCGGTTTCGTTCCAGCAAATTATTTGATGTGGAAGTTGATTATTCCTTGGGGGTAACCATTTTGAAGAGGAAGTTTTCTTAGATCATTCAGGGCAGACTGTAGCAAAGATGAGGAGAAGCAAATTTGGTAGCAACGATAAGTGAAAGAGCGAATTAAGCTTATTTTGTATTTGCGAGGAGTGAAAGAGTCCCATTTAGTAGAAGGCCATCCCCCTTTTTTTTTGGTTAAGCGTCGAATGCATTTCCTGATATTGGGTCGGTCGGTCGGTCGGATTGAAAAAAAAAAAACCTGAAAAAAAAAGAATCACAAGAAGTCTCGGAATAGGAGGCCCTGGTGCCAGGACGACGTTAAAAGTTGTAAAAGTTAAGTTTCACATATTTGGCCAGATGAAAAGAATTATTTCAAGTGAAAATTGGATTAGCTACGTCGTCCTTTTTTTTTTTTTTTTTTTTTTTTTTTTGAAAATGTCAAAAATTTGGGTCGGTTGGACGACGCTAAACAGAGCAAAAAAAAAGACCTGTGCCATGTGTATTTTTCCCGGTAGATAGATGTCAGGAAGGTGGTGCAGGGGGGCCGCGTTTTAAGTTAACATACGCGTGGTGCAACGGTTTTCCGAACACCGAAGAAGCCGTATGCACCCTAACAACCCACCGAGTACCCTGGCTCCAGAGGTCCATTCTCAAAATAAAGTTCTAGGAGAGAGATAGAGAGAGAGAGAAGAGAGAGAAAAAAAGAAACGTCTGGAACGAGAAACGCGTGACCGCCTACAGCAGATTCCAGTTCCCATCGAGCCGAAACCCCAAGGGACTTGACCGAGGTGTGCGAGGGACTTGGCTGGCTCTCTTTTTTGGCCGGCCGGTCACGAAAGGGTCTCGTTTTTATAATTTTATATTTTTTCAACAGGGGACTCGACGTCCTTGAAATGACAGACCCTGAAAGAAACGCTCTTCTCGATGACGAAAAATCACCTTCTAACAATTCCGGTTGCAATGAAGACAATGCCTGTTCGAGTTTTACTCAATGCAGAGTTTACAAAAGGAGATGGTACATTCTATTTGTCTTCACGATGACCTCGATCGTGTCCAACATGATGTGGAATACGTGGGGACCTATTCAGCGACCCTGTCGACTTGTATTTGGATGGGAAAGATGGACAGTTCTCCTACTGTCATCGTTAGGAGCGATCGGGCCTATTTTAGGTGCATTTCCTTCTACATGGCTAATGGACTCCAGAGGTGAGCCCCTTGGATTAAAAATTCTCCATATCTATTATTAAGCTAAAGTGCTTGATTTCAGACTTAAGCTATATGCACCGGCAATAACCTGTACCCTCCATTGTTGTCTTACTTTTCTCTCTCTACCTACAAGTGGAAAAATTGCAAACTTAAACAAATCTAGAGTTTCAATGGTTTATTTCATGGTTGACATCGGCGATACCATGTGATGCGCATTACTTTCGATTTCGGTCTTGAAAGGTCCCTTAAGCTAGGAGGCTTACACGTCTCGGAGGGTCTCCCATATGAAACGGGTGGTAATGCTCATCAGAACAGTAGACTGGTTGTTTATTACCAGTGAAAGGGGACTGCCATTAATTTTACTGTTTTGCTGGGGGTGGGGGCTAGGGCTCATTTTTTGATAAGGTTGGGAACGTTCGAGCGACTGAAGCTATCTGTTCGAAGATAAATTTTAGCCGAGTTTCCTTCCAAAAATAATTTCGTCGTTTAAGCCATTCACGTCGAACGATCTGTCATTCTTAGGAGAGTGGCCACGTTACTAAAGTTTGTTTACAAACACATCATGAATACTGTCTCAGATCTCTGCTCCTTTGTAACCATCTTCGCTTTCATATTATCATTTGATTATCGACAGTATCGACATATGTTTTATTCAATACTTAAGGGTCTTTTTTAACAAGTTTCCCGAAAATAATATTTTTATCTTTTATGCTTTTGTAGTAATGAGCCAGTAGAACAAAACTTTCATTTTAATTGGTTACATTCCTTGTTCACTTGACTGTTTCTTTATCACAAAGAAGAACTTTACAAAGAGTCTTTTCCACACTTTGCGTGACAATTTTCTTGCAAATGAAATTTTACCGCAAACTCAAATATGCAAATTTGGTAGAACGAAAGTCGATACTCACACTGTCTTATTGTGCAACAAGGTCCTGATCTCTTTGTTTATACTGCTTCAAGTGGTGCTTTCTTCTTGATGCAGTGAGAGAAAATACAGTTATATTTCCCACGCATTTCATTTGCAATGAGGCTAAGAACTAATGTTCAACAATTTCTTCATGACTTGAGCGCATAAGGAATTTGCTTATCTGTTGTAGAATTCAACAGAAAATACATGAAACTCACAAACTTTGCATCCTAGTGAACAAAACTAATTATTTGTTCACTTCAGATAGCAATTATTCCAGGGGGTGTGTGAAAATTTTGGAAATTCCGGAGGGGAGGGGGGTACATTTTGGGGGTTGATTTTTGGAAAATCTAAAGGGGAGGGGGGTCATACGGCAAATGCCTTCTGTTGGGGTGGTATGGATATTTTCTGGTCGTATTTAGTATCTTCCATGATAGCTCCATGTTGTGTTTTAACTGGTGGCGCAAGTAGAAGTAAAAATTCTATGTAACTGCGTCAAAGGGGGTTTTGTTATCAATTTAATATAATTTTATACTATTTTAACATCAACTAATCATTAACGTATTCTCTTGTCCAGTCTGGATTAGAGTCACTTGAATTTTGACCTGTTGTAGCCTCCTTAGATAAACATTTCTTGGTCTACTTATCTGAGTGTTTCTTTTAGTTTGCTTTTTCTTTTCTGTTTGGGAATTCAGCTCAACGAATTCTATAAATCCCCCTAATGATTGGAATCTGGAATATAATTTAGTACCTGGAATCCAGAATCTACAGTTGTGGAATCCAGAATCCAGTTACTTTGTCTTGGATTACTTTAAATGGGGGGATTTAACCCCAAAGGCATTCAACTATTAATAATACTCACACTATAGTTATTAGGAATGTTTCTGCTGCTGCCAGCTTGTCCATTCCTTGACTTTACCCTAAGTCTCCCACGCAGCCGTTTTTGTCTCGTCATGGCAACCCTCCTTCCCAAGAAATCAGGAAAGGGATTGCGTGGTTTGAATGTGAGCAGCCATTTGCTGGGAGGAGCATTTTGTGATGAGACAAAATGGCTATGACGGAGGCAAACTTTACTCCTGCAATTGGCCCTTTGTTTTGGTCAATTTATTTTTATCTTGAAATAAATCTTGTTTATTTAACTTCATTGATTGCAGGACTAAGACTTTCTGTTTTGGTGACATCATCAATGTTATTAGCAGGAAAACTTGTCCAATTGATTCCAATTAGTAACATTAAAGCCAAGACAATTTTTATCTATATTGGTCACCTGATAACCATGCTGCCAAGCTTCATTGCTAATGGTGGTCCGCCACTTGTTTCAAACACATGGTTTCCACCAAATGAGAGAACGACTGCAACAGCTATTGGGGCCCTAGCTGCAAACTTTGGAGCTGCTCTGGCATTTTTCATCGGGCCATCAATGATACCAAGCACATTTGACAGCTCTGAGAATAGTACAAAGAATTTTTCTAAAAAATACATCCATCTCTTGGAGACAAGAATTATGGATTATTTTTATGTGCAGGTCGGATTGGCTGCATTTCTTTTTTTGTGCGTTGTCATTTATTTTCCTTCCAAACCACCACTGCCACCCAGTGTTGCTGCTTTTACAAGAAAAACTACTGAAATTGGCTACAAGGATGGTCTGAAGATGTTAATATACAACAAATCCTATTGGTTACTTGTGCTAGTTTTTGCTGCATCCTTCGGTATTTACTTTGGATGGACGTCAGTGCTGGATCTTGCAGTTCAGCCATTCAATATTAGTGAAAAGAGTTCAGGATGGCTTGGAACTTGCTCTAGCTTGGCTGGAATAATATCAGGTGTGATTATTGCAAGGTAATAAATTGAATTTCCATATCTTTTTATGGTATCCTCAGAAAACAATACACGCACATTGAAAACTCATATTATGGTTTGTTTCCCTTAATTACCCCTGACTTTAACTATAAGAAGTAGTGATATTATAAATAGAGAATGTGCCGATAAATTTTAGATTCTTGTCATTAATAGTTTGAAAGCTTTTAAGTCACAGTTTAAAAACTGTAGTGCAGACTGGTTATTTTATGGTAAGTGTCAAACACTTGTTAATCGTTCTTTTTGGGTTTGGGTGTTTATGATCCATGAATTTATTAAGAAGGCTGTGGTAGGGAAAGACAGCAGAGTAGATGAGTATCTCCTCTTGCCTTCCTGACCCTCTCCTCCCTCTTTGGCTCTTTTGCATTGTGCCCACACAGGACACGCATGAAAAGAGAGTAAGCACCCCTGCTTGGGTGGCATGCAACAAGAGAGAGGACGCCCCAGGATGAATTTGCACCATACAGTGGATAGCTGGGAATTGTAGCTCATTAACAAAGCCTGGAATGATTCCATCAGGCTTGGTGTCAACCATGACTGCTGGAGTGCTTTGGATGTATCAGCAAATCCCTGGAGGGGGGGGGGGGTTGAAGGGCAGGTACTCCTATTAATTTACTATGAGGTTTACATGCTGATTCTCTGAGACTCTGGAACATGTGGAACATGCTGGAACTGTTCCAGACAAAAACAGATGAATATTGCAACCTGGTTGCAGACAATAATTTTAATAATTTGAATCCTATTCCTGCCGCTGGCTCAGTTACAAAGTGACAATGGGAAAGTAGTTTTGCACCTAAACTTGATTGTGAATAATCATAATAATGGCGAAAAAAATCAACTATGTTCCAGAGAGAAAATAATCAATCATTAATGAGTTAGGATGAGTATGATATGAAGAATTATGCAGATCGAGGAGAATGCCGGAAGGGGGGTTGGGGGTGGGGGGAGTTGGGGTACTCCCCAAAGTTTTACTTAGGGAGGCTCTGCCCTGAGATCCACCCCCTTACCCTTGTATATATTATTTTTAACAGAAAAGGTATCCCTTTCATATACCTTCAACTGACTAATCAACTTATCCTCTGCCCCTTTCCAATACCTGGCTAGATTAGAACACTATATCCATTTTAACTGCTTCAAATAATTCTTCTTTTTGGTTTGAATAAATCACGGCCAGAAAGTTTTCTTGTCTCTGTCTCATCCATAAAATGTGTCTGTCAGCAATTTTTGGTCCTTTTGCCTACAGACAGAAATGAGAGATTTTCCTGCGCTTTCACATACTTCAACTAATGAAATCGATCGCTACCCTTTCATATACCTGAAGCCTAAAAAAGGTACAATGTACCCCTTTCGGGTGGACCTTCCCGCCTAGGCCATTATAAGAAGTATCCCCATTCCCCAGCGCGAATGTTATCAGCCGAGGTGGATACCAGCTTCCGAGATCAGCGTAATTCTTCACACCCTACAAAAGCCGAATACAATAATTGTTTTATTATTCATTAAAAAATATTTCTAAGTTCTGAACAACCTTACCTCCTCGTAGGCTTTCTTTCTTGATTTTTGGTACCCTTTTTCAGACAGAGAGGCAAAAGCTATCAGTGATGAGTAACCATTTATAAGAGTACCCCGGGGGCAAAATCAAACTGTCAGTTAAAATTAATTTCTATAAATGTTAATTTCCGCGGAGCTTAGTTTCCATATCATTATTTTGGCCACAAATTCTCGATACACTTGATACCTAGGAAGGAGGAGTATTTTATAAGTGTGGAGATCCGCCAGTACCAGTAAAACCCTGATGAACCCCCAAAGTGGCCAGATTTCTTCGCTTGATTCCCTTCGTATGTTTAGGAAAAGTGGTCACGAGCAAAGTTTCCATTTCGGATTTTACGTTTAACTTTATTCCTGTTGTCTCAGCAAGTTTTGTTTCTTTGTGAACGTCGCGTTAATTTCCTTCATTTTGAAATGATATCCTCTCTTTCGCCTCAATTTCCTTTTCTACGAAATTCGCGTTAATTTAAGTCGCGTAATTCCCAGTACCTCAATTTCATGGAGCGTTAATTTCCTATAACAAGGTTAATAATATTAATAATATTATTATTGTATCTGTTTACAGATCTGCAGACATCGTGAAACGCTGGACCAAAACTATCTTGGTGGCCCTCTACGTGGGCACTGTACTATTTCAACTTATTTTTACATTAACTTGCTCAAAAATCTTACCATTCTCACAAGGACTGCTGTTCACGTCCATTATCTGTAGTGGTTTGCTGTTCAATGGAACCATCCCATTAGTGTTCGAATTGATTATGGAGTGTGTATTCCCTGTTGGTGAGGGCACGTCTGTTGGGGTGGGATTAGTTCTGGGAAATGCTGTGATCCTTTTGTTTGATGTGACTTTCATGTTTCCGATCACTGATGTTCGTTGGATGAACTGGGTCTGTGTCGGTGGTGTTACTGCTTGTATTCCTTTGTTACTTCTGTATAAGGCACAGTATCGTCGACTTGCCGTTGATGTAGAATAATATAGAAATAACCTTAAATAACAAACCTGGACCATTATTAATTTTTGGAATTTATTTGATCGGAAAATGGTTTTAGCTTTTAATTTTGAAAAAAAAATAGAGAAAATAAGAATGAAAAAAGAAAAACAAACAAAAAAAACAAAACAAAGTAAAGCAAAGCAAAACCAAAAAGCAAATAGTGTGAAGAAGCCACATTTAATGTTAAGTTTTCTCGCCTATTTGCTAAAATTATATACCCCCGGAAGTATCATTGTACTTTTTTTTTTACAACAATAGTTAGTTCGCTTATTTCCGTTGAAGGAGGTAAGATTAAAATTCCTAATATTTGATACTTGTTTTCTCCCGTACGACATTAATTCCGCTAAAACTCGTAGGAGAATGAAATTTTCCCGCCAAAATGACGTTGGTTCACGTGCGCGCACTACTTAGTTTAGTCTGTTACACAGCTGTTTGCAGTGTCGTTCTTGTTGTCGTCCTCGTCTTAGAATCTAAAGCTCTCTATTAAAGGGAGCCCGGTGCTCTGAACCTCTGAAATTCAACATGCCCAGCATAGGATTTCTATAGGAAAAGACCTACGATTTCTCAGTCACCGAAAAACAAAAGTAAGGTGCCGGGGGAGGAGTGGAGGGGTGGAGTCGGCGGTTAATTGCGGGTGGGTTTTGTTATCTTTAGTTCACGTTTGTTAACGTAATAGTTAATATTTTTTGTCCATTAAGTATTCTTAGGGAGCGGGAACTGCAGATTGAAGTTCTTTTTAAAAGTGAGATGATGTGGCGTTTCTTCTCTTTTCTCTGTTGTGTTTTTGTTTGTCCGTTTTTTATAGCCTTTCTGTGGGGTTTTTCAAATAACGTCGCTGACAAAGATTTTAACACTGTCAAACTAAATTTAGTAGACCGTCCGTGGTACCAAATACATAAGACATAATTATCTACAAACTGTCACTCTCAGTCGTACGTGTCTCCAGATCTTTTTAAGGATGATTTTATCAAGTCTTCATACAGTTATTTCACTAGTCGTAATGGTTTAGATATTTTAATTCCTAAATTGCGTACAGAATCTACTAAGAAAGGCACTTTTTTATATTGGAGCCCCAGCTTTCAATAACTTGCTACCGCATCTAAAGGAAGTTGACTCTATAGTGATTTTTAAAACGCAGCTCAATGATATTATTTTTTAGAGTTCTGATAAATATTTTAGAGTTTTTAAAGTCTTAATTCACGTAGTCATATAATTCTTAGTTTTAATCCTTTGACAAGTTTTTAAATTTTCTAATAGTTAATCTATAATAGTTATTTTATCTTTTAAATGTTATTTTTATATGCCCAGGGCACCCATTTATAACAGTTTTCGCTGACGGGTTAACCCTGGTTAAATATCATTGTTATACTAATAATAATAATAATAATAATAATAATAATAATAATAATAATAATAATAATAACATATTCTTGAACTGTAAATAGTCTATTTTTTTTAAATCTATGAATAAAGTTTTGTATTATTAATAAAATAATAATAATAATAATAATAATAATAATAACTTTAATAGTAACATCCTCGTGAGGTTTTTCAGGAACTATTTACAAACTATTTACAATTTATAAAAGCAAAAATGACAATAAAAACTGGAAATCACAATTAATTTAAAAAAAATAAATAATAATAATAATAATTACTATCATTATTATTATTATATTTATCAACTGTCACGGCAAAATATCGTTAAACAAGGTTTATTGACTATCAAGATCGCAATATATGTAATTTCTGGTTTACACTAGCGACGGAGTCGAAGTCGTAAGCGGAGTCGTAAGAGCGCTTATGATTTAGTAAAAATCAGAAATCGGAGTCGGAAGAATCAGGACGTCTCCATCTTCTTTCGACTTCCGCTTACGACTCCGTCGTTTGCGATTTCGTGGAAACCAGATATAGTCGGAGTTGGAAGCAGAAGCAGAAGGATAAGCCAATCGCAATGCTCTTTCCTACGCTTTATGATTGGTTTAGTTCTTTCGCTTTTGCTTGCGACTCCAACAACCTTAGTTTTCACTTGGAAGCTACCGTAAAGTTGTACACTTATGATTACGTTTCCGACTTCGACTCCGTCCTCATGAAAACTTCCTGAAGGAGGATCATGATTTTAGATCATTATCCTGATATTGAGATCTCTCCTTACCTATAAGCCAACCGGCCAGCCCAGGAAAGGTTGGCCCTATCTTTCCGAACAGTGATGTTGGTTCTTTCACGTCCCACAAGAACCAGCTAAGTAAAAGTTCTCTGGAATGGGACCTACGATTTTTCGTCCTTATCCGAGAATAATAGAAGGTCTAACCGTTTGCAGATGTCATTACAAAGGCAGCTCTTTCTTTTCAGTTTATTAAAGACCATGAGTGTTGGATCGGCCGGGATTTGAACCCGTGACCTCCTGCTCAGCAAACCGGCGCTCTTGCTACTGAGCTAACCAGGCGGCGGTAACGTGGGACTACGAACATGACAAAGGCTATGATGACCACGACAAGCGATGATCTTGACGGACATTATAACAACCACCACGATAATCATAAAGGGAACAAAAGGCTCGGATGCGATGAACCCCTTGAAACGCGAAGAAGACTAGGTCGCCTATGTATGATGTACACAATTGTTCACGGGCTCGTTGATTTTAATTTACATAATTATCATTCTTTGCAAATTTTTCTTCGTATTATTGGCCGAGAGCTCTCCGCGTGACCTGCAAATAACTGCCTACAAATAATGGTCTGCTCATGCGCATTGTCATCCAACTTTGTTTCCCTGCCAATAATAATATTCTATATTTGCGTAAATGAAACCACGCTTTTCTCCTTCTTGCAATCGCTGTTGGTTGTAGCTGGCAGATCGCTTCGCCTCCCGAAGATATTCCTCAAACTCGGTGATCAAATGATAAAACAATTATTGAACTCGGTTATTGCAAAATATCTTGATTTGTTAATTAGCGTCTGTTACTCCACCAGTGTGATAGCAGGACCGTTTGATGGGGAACTAGCTCTTCAGTCGGCTATACAGAAGACTCAGAAACTCAGTCCACAAATTCTTTCTTTCAAGTTGTTGTACTGTATTTTCTTCTTTTTTGTAATTACACGCTTACTTTATCTCACCGTAAAGCAACTCTCTCTCCCTGATCTTAGTTCGATCTAGCGCTGCGTTTTTATGGCCACACAGCCGAGTTCACAGTTTTAGGCGCAAACTGCCGATCAAATTCAGTTCATGAATTTCAAGGGAGCAGCTGCGCTAAGTTGGTACGTCATTACAAGAACAACCTATTTGCGATATTTTCCATACTGGAACTCGACTTTTTTCCAAAAACACAACGCCACAGACTTAGGAAAAATTACAAGGATCAGATCAATTGTTAATTATTTGCAATTCTCCAAGAAAACAAGAACACGGAACAGCCATGCGTATAAATTCCAGACACCCTTTAGCTCTAAGAATGCCCTCAAATTCTCCTTTTTTCCGGCAAGGATCTTTAGGGAGTGGAATCAGCTCCCAGCAGTGGTAGTGTTGTCTCTGTCGCTAGCTGTGTTCAAGGAGAAAGTCACTACATTTAGGAACTAAATACAAACTAGCCTGGTCAACATATACGTGTTTCTTTACTTTTTTTAACAGTTTGTGTGATGCCTCACCGGTCTTATATTACTAACTTAATAAAGGTGAAGGTTTAACTTCGCTTACAAGGTTCTACTTGACCCAATTCTTGCTCAATTCCAGATGGGCAGGATGTAGGATCCATTCTCGGACGCTGAAATGCATTTTCTGGCCTCAATCCCTTCCTTGTTTTGGGACAGGAACTCACATCCACCTTTTGTCGTCTTTTTCGCGATAGCTTCTTCAGCGCGTCTTTAAATATCTGCATCCTGGAACTGTAGACGAATGGATTCACCATCGAATTCGCCAAATGCAAAGCATTCACAGTTATAATCATGGTTGGCGGAAAACATCGATGGCATAAGTCTCTCGTTATGTACACAACAATAGCTGGTATCCAGAACACAAGGGATACAGCAATTGTAACAAAAATTGTTCTTGAAAGTCGTAGATTGCGCTCAGCAGATTGACGACTTAGAACGTCGAGTTCGGGTGCAGGTGATCGCAGTCGATTGCGTATTTTCAGGTAACTGCCACAGATCACACACAATGAAATCAAAAGACAAGAGTGAACGGTGACACTAACATGTTCTCTCTTTACTTTTGGCGGGTAATATAAGGCTACCAAATAAAGGCCGAGCGTAAAAAGTCCAATAACCCAGATGACAATTACACTGTAAATGTAAAATCGAGTTTTTGTGGTGCGATGACGGAACGGGCACAGCACGGCGAAAGCGCGTTCTAAAGAGACTAGCGCGAGGAAATATATGGATACACTTGAGGCGAAGAGTTGAAACGCTGGCCCAGGATTTTTTTTCCACTGAACTTTTCCCTCATCACTTGCAATCCCTGCCATTCCTGGAAATTTTTCCCTCCCAAGAAGAATGCCCTCTGCGATCCCGACAAGCATATCTGCGACTGCAAGGTTAATCAGAAGAAAGCATGTTCGCTTGAGATGGGTTCGCTGTGTCCAGAAGACAAATACAGTGAACGTGTTTCCAGTAATGATAATGATTGCTTCTAGTACAAAGATAACCACAAACGTAATGGACACAGTGAGAAACATGTGTTTGCTCTTTTAGTTTTCTGCAAAGAAGAGTGCAACTGAGTGTTATAATGTATTGATCTAATTTGTTTGACCGAAAGTTGCCGTTCGTGCCTGACATTGATACAGCGATAAACCAAATTATTAAATTTTCAACCTCGGATAATTAATGCATGTCTAGCATTCTGATTGGTTCACCCAATCTCGGTTACCTTTTGTTTGACCTAATATGGAAAACGCTAGGACAAAGTGGCGAAAAGAAGTAGATTTCGCGAGTTTCTACCGACAAGACAAAATGCATACCGGCAGCGACAAACATTAGGTTGAAATTGTTTAATTGTACGGATCTCTATGGCAAATTTAAAGAAATAACAAGTTTTATTCTTCCTTACGTCGAGCGGATTACAACAACAACAAGTCAACAATCCACCACCAACAACAAAGTTTACCTTAAATTTTTTCAGATTGCTTGCAAGTCCTTGCAGGAGTAAGTTTTGAAAACTATTAGCAGATTTTTTGCGTGTTTAAAGAGCTTGTAAACCTCTTAACACTTTCGCAAGTCCATAACGGGCCTCTATTGAATCCTACAACGAGCGGCTTTCCATTGAACAACAACAACAAATTGATTAATAAAGCTGGGCCTTTGTGCAGCTACGATTCAGTGGAGGAAGAAAACGAAATTGGCGAGCGATCAGGTCGCCCTATCCAGCGTCAATTCAAATTCCACAGTCACGGCGAGGGAAAGCGAAAACAGTACTTGTCGAGAATAATTTAAGCACAGTGTCCTTCCCTTTCAGATTTTCATTCAACTATGTTCGCAAACGGCACACATATCATGTGATTTCGATCTTCTAAAATTCTGTTGTAATAACCAGACGTTTGGAGTTTAAAAAAAAATTAATAAAACAATTATTTCATTCGCGCTTGTTGGATATGAGATAGTTATAGCGAACTCGGCACTACGCGCCTCTTTGGCTTATTGGAACCGAGAAATATAATTATTTCGCACGGATGAAGCATAAAATTTAGTTACTAACTCAATTATTACTTCATAGTAAACTCAGTTGGTCTAATAATTACATTTGGCTATTAGTTAGGCACAGTGTTCAATTCTTTGTCTGCTAACGGGAAAATTAATATCTGCATGTGAAGCATTTCCCAGAACCAACAGCTCCTAGTGTCAGTAAACTGAAAAGGTTATACAAGCCTGCCGCTGTAAAACCTAAAAGCATATTCAGTTTATACCGACCATAACTTCAGTTTTCGCATCTGGCCACGTTGACTAATTTGATAATCTTACATTTTTGTCAGCTAACATTGAAAATGAGGACATTTTGTGTGACTTCCTTACCTTGACACTTAGGTTTTATTTCCCTTTTTTTCAGGAACAAGACTCTGTGACTGTGGTGATCATGTTGTACGGTAATGTATTAGTTTTTGGCCTTACAATATTAGATATAAATCAATCAGTCAACTTTATTAAAAAGAAGGTAAACACATAACAAAAAAAGCTGATAAACCAGTGGCCCTCTATATTGTTACACGCCTAGTATTTGTTTAGACGCCATTTCACTATCAAACAACGCGCTACTAATTATGATATAGCTGCACAAAGTTTGAATATCGCACAAACATATGCAATACAAGTTTAGGGAGATAGCTACGAGTCGTTTGGCTCCCCAACTGAGGGGATTAGTGATATATTGATCTCAAAATATTTAGAGTGACCCTAAAGAAGTACCGAGAAGTCACTAAAAAAATAAGTAATGGTAACAGGACTGAGTGGAGTCCAATTCGGTCTGTAATCATACGAGTGATTAACAAAATCGGACGACCGCGTAGTGGGAGTCCGATTTGTTTAATCACGAGTATGATTACAGACTGACTAGGACGACACGAAGTTCTGTTACCATTTAATCATAACTTTAACAAAATTTGTGATACAATAGGCTATTTTTTAAACCAAAACACAAGAAATTCGAAATTTTGTTTTGCTAGCAGTGAAAAAAAAAGCCATTTAAGCGCGCGCGTGATGGCGCGTACTGTCCAATTACTTAGGCATGACGCGTACTGTCCTATTAAACTGTCCAATTAAGGCTGAAATCTGGGCAGTTGAGAGCCAATCAGATTTGACAATTTTGTCATAGTTATGATTAACAGTTTAACTGAATCAAATTTGTTATAATCCTTTTCATTATAGTACGTTTGCTTAGGGTTTATAAATCGTATATCACCGGCCCACTTGTTTTTCTTTTCAGTTGTACATTTTGTGAATACCTCTCACGTCCTCAGGTATGCTCTTTACTCAAAGAAACGAGGTTCATAGTACGATTTGTTATTTTTATTTATTATTACTATTATTATTCAAATGAAAATAAGTCTTTAAGGAAAAATATGCTTATTTTTTTATTATTTCATATGATGATAGGCATCACGGCTAAGTTCTATTATTTGTATTTCAAAATTTACTCGATCGATGAAGCGAAAATGTAAAGTTCAATAAAGGCAGTTAATAAAAGTCAAATCTGTCAAAATAAAACAAACAATCTTGCGAAAATGGTAAAATCTGCCAGAATTTAACTGAATGCAATATCACTTGTTTTTTCTTGAAAAATCTCGCTAAATAATGAGTCACAATTAAATTCACAGTTAATAGAATTACTAAATATAATAATTATACATTATTTTGGAACTTATTGCAAGTTGGAAATACGGATTTTCAAGGTACTAATGTTAGAGGACTTTGTGCAATCCTCAAAACCTTTCAAGGTCCCCTAGCTGTCATCGAAAAAGAAGCGTGCTTAAAAAAGGCTTGGTCTATTAAGCTGTCGCACTGAGACGCTTCGAAGGTGAACATGATTTCATCAAAAGGCGTTGTTCCAAAGGGCGTGATAGCAAATTTAATTTTTTTTTTTTGGAAGAAGAGAGTCGTAGCCTGCTTAGGCGAAATGTGAGCCTGAAACTGCCCAGCAGTAACTTATTACTGCTTAATGAACGGCCTCCTTCTCAGTCGTCCTCGGCGATTTCGGATGTGACGTCTCGCACTCGGTTCCAAGCATCCTCTGGTAACTCGGGTAGCGAGAACTGGCCTGGGTACGAGGCTGCTTGATGAGGATGCCAGATGCTGGGTTACCCAGCAAAATTTGAACGCAGCACCCGGATATACTGAATCCACTGTAGAATAACCCAGACGAATCCCTAAACAATACGAAACGCGTCTCTGCAAATTTTGAAAGGATCTGCATCTATAAGCGTCTTGCGTCCCAGCGGCGCAAAGACGGCGCTTTTTCGGATTGATTACCCTTTTGCGCAAGCTGTGTTGTTAATACCAGGAGAAAATTAAGACGTGCGTATCTCAGCAAATGTCGAAGATAAAAAGAAATTAAAAACGAAACAGAAAAGTAATGCAAGAGAAAAGAAGGTAAATAATGGATAATTGGAAATAAAGCGCATTTACCTGTTATAACTACCCTTTATCCTTCCTCAGATACAGTCGAACTAAGCTTTACGGACACTCGTTTTTCTTTTTCTCTAAATTCAACCCACTTAATACGGATCCCAGTTAATGCAACCTCGTCCCCAGGGCTTTTCCCTTAAAACACGGGTGGGGCGGGAAAAGGTCCTGGCATCGGCTGGTCACGTGCACAGCCTAAATATTCCTGAGAAGCTAATTTATGTGCAACCCGCATCGCAAACTATGTCAATATTTTCGCGTGTGTGAGATTCAAAAGCTCAAGATCCATTTAATTGAGCATTATTCAAATGCTATAAGTTTATGAAAGGGCGTACCGGCTCTACGTTGTCACGCACAAAATATATCAAATGCTTCATAGTTGAGACAAGCTGTTATCGACTAGTACTTTGACTGAACTTCATCGTAACTGTGGAATTACTGTACGATCAAGTCGAAAGTGATTTTGTCCAACGTCAAACAACAATGCGGGCCTTTGCCTCCAGGATTGAACTTGATTGAAATAGAATTGTTCATCAAAATGCTTTATGGATTCTGGTCCTCTCTACAAGCCGACCAAGAAACAAACAAATCTCCGCGCCGGATGCAAGTCAGCTCTCCAGCCAGGAACGATGACAGGTCGCCGATCTGAAACATTTGAAGACCTCTGATATCTTTTCTCTTCCGAGGATAAGTACAAAGGATTTTACTTATATCAAACGGAAGATTAACTGATCGATTGGAATCATCTACAGCTCTGTCAATTTGAAATGGACCCAAGTCTTTCTTTAATTTGTTGCCAGTCGTTTGATCGCAGAGGTCAATGAATTTTTTAAAATACAGGTCATACAGGCTAAGTCTAAACCAACGCGTATCGCTATGATATGACTGAGAGTTAAGATGAATAGAACTAGGCTGTGTACGGCGGCCCTCTTCGGAAGAAATGAAATAAAATATCAGAAGAGTCGAGAAAGCGGACTTTTCCAATACGTAGCTGGCTTGATTGTCATTTATACCGCTCTATAAACAGAAGTTTTACAAATGTTACTCGCTGGCCCCTTCAGGGAAATCAAAGGAAAGCAAAAAATTACCATGGCCAGTATCTGTGACAAAAAGGAAATCTTGTAAAACCTTTCGTTAATCGTCAAGAGATATAAGAGGCCGCCCAAGATCGCGCGCTGTGAAGTTACGCATATTTTAGCTTTTCACTTAGCGCTAATTTATTACACCCAGGATTTTAGGGTGTACGAGGGGACACGTGACCAGCCGATGCCAGGGCCGCCCCACCCATTTTTTAAGGGAAAAGCCCTGGGGACGAGGTTGCAGTTAATGCAGACAACGGTCATTGTTTCTTGCCCAATTTACAGATTCTCATAGACAGTAAACCTTCCCTAATGCGAACACTTTATGATCAACTGTCTGCTGTAAAAGACCATTGACTTTTGAGGGAAAACGACGTCAATTTCAGACTATTTTGGCTTCAAACGAGCTGTGAAGAAAACGCTTTTGATTAATAAGCTATATATTTAGACGAACGATTTTGTAGGGCATCCGTGGATTTAGTCCACGGAATGACGGCTTTGTTGAGGCTAGAAAGATTTGATCTGACGATGCTTATGTCTTTCTTGTTTATTTTGTTTATTATTTTGTTCGAATAAAAGGTGTTTTTTTTATTTTTAATAACATGACCGCTTCATAAATTGTCCTATTTTCAGAAATCGTCTTATTACAAAACTATAAGGATGGAGCAGGCAGGAAGAAATAATCTTTTTCTTATTATTAATGATCGACAAACTGTTTCAACCTGGTATAAAGTTCAGCCTTGCCCTCTTATAACGTCTTTGGAAACAATGAATGAAAATTTCAACGACTTCTTTATTTGAAAAATCCAAGCCATTAGGAATGAACTCCGGGAAATGCAGTCAGCCATTCAATGCAATCTCAGGGTCCGATTTTGGCTCAAGAATTTAACTTGATGCCTGTATCCTGCTCTACCGTTAAAAACACCATTCAGTCTCTTTCCACAAAAATCTGTTCCATTGACCCACTTCCTGCCTACGTAATAAAGAATTACGTTCTATCATAACTAGCATAGTCAATTAGTGGACTCTGTCAGCAGGGGAGTTTTCTTGAAGCTATCTTATGACTTTTTCGTTCACGTCTGAAAAAGAATAACCTTAATCTTAAGAAATGTGACGATTTTAGTCTATTTAGTTCGCGCATTTTTAAATTCTTTTCTAAAGAACCGGGCACAGGCCAGCTTATCTTAATTGTACTTTATGTTTTATTAATACGATCATTGTAAATACTTTCTCTTTTGATCGTTATTTGTTCTATTACTTTTTTATAGTATATTTGTATTGTAAATATTTGATACATATTTTTATTTAGCCACAATGTGGAAACCCTGTTATTAAACCGATTACTTACTTACCTCGACAAGGAGATTCTTAAGACCTACAGGGGGTTGGCTGATATTCCTTTCCTTAGCAAAGTGATTTAGAAGGTGGCAGCAACTGGTACAGATGCTACCTTGAAAACCGCCAGCAATGAATAATTATTGTCGACCACGTGTTCACTCCTCGCGCTCTGTGTCAAGGGTCTACATTGGACCGCTACTTTTCACCCTTTTTATTGGCCCTCCACAGGATGTAACTGCTCGCCTTAACCAGAACTCCTTCTCAATAGTAATTGGAGACTAAATGTTCACTCCTCACGCTCTGTGTTATGACGTCCCACAATGGTCTACACTTGGACCGCTGCTTTTCACCCTCTATATTGCCGTCCTTTCCGCCTTTTTTTTACAGGATGTAATTGCTCGCCATAACCAGGCCCCGGTTGTTCAAAAGATGGATAGCGCTATCCACCGGATAAATCACTATCCAGCGGATAAGTGTTAGGGAAACCAATTGCGCTATCCAGTGGATAGACATTTATCCGATGGATAGCGCTATCCACCTTTTGAACAACCGGGGCCAGGGCCCGGTTGCATAAAACCTGCACTTAAGTGCTCACTTAAGTAGGTCACTTACGAATCCGTTATGGGTACACTTAAGGGTGTTGCATGGAACACACTTAGCACTCTCGTAAGTTTCTGTTTTACGTGGTAACTTACGGGCTCACTTAAGGGCACACGTAACCTTGCTATAGTACTTTATTAACGATTCACTTTTTTTTTTTAAGCTAACCATCGGTGAGTGTAAAGAAAGTTAAAAGTCGTTTCCAACACTTTTAAGCCTCTCAAAAAATGAAATTTGCATGCAAACGTTATTTTTCTTCAATATCTACTGAAAATGATAGTTCTTCTTCTTTTTTCACAAAAGTGTACATCAGAGGTTAACAAAGCGCATTAGAACGAATTACGTGAAGAAAAATACTTTTTTTCACTTCTCAGTAAAAGATCTCGTTAAATTTAGTAAAAACAGTGACGATACGGGACCTACATAGGTCCCGTAAATTTACGTCCTATTTTTCCCGTAAAAATCTTTTTATGCAACACCCGCAATTTCTGTTGCATAAACGACACTTAAGTGAACACTTACGAAAATCGTAAGTGCAACCACTTAAGTGAATTCCCTAAGTGGACCACTTAAGTGATTTCATGCAACTGACTTAAGTTACGAGTGCACGTACGTGTACCCGTAGTTGTTACGGACGTTTTATGCAACCGGGCCCAGAACTCTTTGTTTTCCGCAGATGACACTCAACTGTATATAGCTATCGATCCTGCAAATCAGGTTCTGACCCTGACTGCCCTCCAAAATTGTATAGAGGATGAAATGCAATGGAACACGCAGAATATGCCAGGAAAAAATGTGACAAATGATGAGAAGACAGAGCTTATATTGTTCACATCCCGATATACTAAGACGCCTAACATTGAGAAGCTCTCTTTTGACAGTACTGACGTTGAACTAACTGAGAGAGTTCGTAATCTTGGATTTATTCTAGACAACTAAACGAGATATGCAGAAATGTAGCCAATATGCCATCAGGTCCACTGGGCGCATTAGCAAACTATACCTTACTAACAAAAACCTCAAACTGTTACTCAATGCCCCTTTAATACAGTGTATCACGTTTAGACTACAACAACAACTCACTCATACGTTAAATCTGTCCTAAAAGTATTCCTATTTTGGAAATTATATTTTCGAGTTATGATATGAGAAACATTACGTTGGTTTTATTTTCTTTAAATATATTTCATATATCTATTTATTCTTGTTATCATAAATATAAGAGAGAAAACAAAAATTAAATTTATTCATTTCATAATTTAAAGTTTTCACCGTGCGTTGGGGGTGTCACGAAATGCATGAAAAGGCCCTCTTTTCAAATTTATCTCTTTAAGTTAAAGACTTACTTGTATATGATATATTCAATAATAATTTATAAGTACTTACAGACTTCCAGAACCTTAAAAGCTTTCAGTTATCAGCTCCACAAACACTAAACTTTAATCTGTCGCCTGGTGTTCCAACGAGTATTTAGTCTTCCATGTAGAATAATCACACATTGGATTTACATTTTGAGTGCTTTATGTTTACTCAGATTTTATTTTGAATACGTTTAGGTGATAAATCTTAAGGCTACACAATTTCATTTTTAAACCGTCAAAAAGAACGTTTGTAGTATATCTCTTTCAATTTACCGTTCAGTGAGTTATAAACTGTCGAGAATTGCGCAATTAAGTGGCAAACTATTAGGTTAGGATTCTCCAACCTAAACTTCATACAATTAGTTTGGATGAGTGTGTGTGCGCGTTTAATGTATTTTTTCATCATTGCCAGAAGTTGATAAAATAGTTGGTGAAACTGCCTCATGCGTTTTTGGAGTGAAAGAAACTCTCCAAGCTAAATCCACTGTGTTTTGCGGTGTAGCTCTCATTTCCATGTTATGTCGTTTTCGGCTGCAAAATTTCTTCAGGATGTCTTTGAAAATTTGCATCCTGAAGCTGTAGACGAGAGGATTCATCATAGAATTTGCCAGATGTAGGGCATACACGTAGGGCACCACAGTATCAGGAATGCATCGCAGGCATAATTCTCTCGTTGAGTAGACAACAAACGCCGGCGTCCAGAACACAAGCGATGAAGCAATTGCGATAAAAAGTGTTTTTGAAAGCCGCACATTGCGTTTTCTTAGCTGATTGGTATGGATATCAAGCTCGGGTGATGGTGCACGTAATCGATTGTGTATTTTAAGATAACTGGCACAGATAACCAAGAGAGAAATAAGAAGACATGTATTAGTACACACGAAAACGTATTTCTTTTTCACTTCTGGGCAATGGAAGGAGAGTAGAGTTAAAGCAAAGAAACACAGTCCAATTGTCCACACGACAAGGATGCTTTTGATGTAAACTCCACTGTTTGCGATGCGATGGCGGATTGGCCATAAGACAGCGAAAGCTCGTTCCAAGGAGATAAGCGCCAGAAAGTAAACGGAGGTACTTGATGATAGGAGGACGAATGCCACGAAGGGATATGATTGGCTTTGCTTTAGTACTGCGTAGTCATCTGTCGTGATTTGTGATATAGCGGTTCCTAAGACTGTTAGCTCTGTAATCCCCACAAGAAAGTCGGCGATTGCGAGGTTGATCAAGAGAAAATAAGTTCGTTTTAGGCGAGATCTCTGAGTCCAGAAGACAAAGATAGTGAACGTGTTTCCAACGATGATAATGATTGCTTGTACTGTGTAGATGACCACGGAGATGATGGACGTCGATAAATACATCTTTTTGCTGGTAATTGTTTTTATAAATTAACTTTTTCAAATATCCAGCGAAAAGTTCAAAGGATGCCTTGTTCTGTATGCGAAACAGCTGTGAAGCAAAACCCACTAGTTATAAAAACGATGAAGCGAAAAACAAAATCGTCTGTTATTGTTTTTCTTTCCAAACACTTTTTGTTCAAACCAAATCAAAATGTACGTACGTGATTTATTGACCATTTGCTATTCCCTAGAACAAAAACTTCAGCTGGTCATAATGTTGCATGACTTGGACAGGCGCTTTAGCTCTTGTTGAGTTTTCAAAGAAATGAATTGGAAATAAAGTAATTAAAAACTGCCTTCACATTAATTCGATCGTATACCGCTTATGTGCTTTTAGCGCTAATGAATTACATCTTTGGTTCAAAAGAGATATTAAAATTTCCGTGTTTTCAACTGATTACCGTTACTATGGTACTTTTTTTTCAGATGTGAGATTAAAGGCAATGAGATTACTTAATACTGTTTCACCATAATCATTCAACATTTCGATTGTAGGTTGTTTATTTGGTTTAGATTTAATGGCAGAGCGGATTTTAACGAGTGATTAGTGAAGACCAGCCTCCAGCGCACAAGTTAAACGCCCGAGGGCCATGGCCAGCAGTACATCTCGCCCCACCAAGTCCAAGAGGCCCAAGCAGACCTCTCGAGTACACTCGGTTCCTGCTCTCAACCCGCCCGAAGTGCCGCACCCAAGCGAACTTTCCCGAGAGCCGGCGATCAGTGGGCCATCCTCAGTCTCAAGTCCCGCGACCCCAAGTTCAGTTGTCTCTCAGAATATTAGAGAGATTAAGATTCCCATTTACCGCAAACGGCAAACGTCAGACTCAAGTTGAGAATTTCTCAGAATAGAAAATAAGCGGATAAAAACAGTCTGGAACGATTCCTATGGTTAAAACCGGCATAAAACTACTTATTTTTGTGTAGAAGCAATAAAGAGTAAACGGAAAATAAGGCGAAAACTTGGTCACGTGGTACAAATTCACGTCTGCCGTTTGGCGTAAACGTGAATCTTAATCTCTCTATTGTTTCAAGCATCACGAGTGCTATTTCTTCGGCTGTACTTGAAAGCCTGAAGTCCGCAGGAATAATCCCTCAAGAGCCAGTACAGACATCCGACCCTGCTGCTGCTGTACAGGGGTCGGTAGCGCAGGTTGTTCAAGACCTAGCTGGTGGGGGCTACACTTTAACTTCTACCTCCATTACTAGCGGGCCAGAGACCGACCACAAGCCCGATAAAATCCATACCTTAATTTCCGTTCCACATTCGAGTACAGTTCCGGACAAAATTCAATCTAAAATATGGGCCAACGAATATATCGATCTCGGAACTCTTCTATCGTCCTTGCCAGGCGATCCCAAATACAACTTCACGGTAAAATCATCTGGATCCAACCAGCCTGTGGTCAGTCTCGAACCCGTCCAAAACTCTAAGCGCATTACTAGCATCGATCAATAGACTACCGCATTTCAGGTTTTTGTTGCCATCTATACCATCCGATTTCCGGACAGCGCTCCCGGATTAATGAAATACAGTGCAACAGTGCACGATTTGGCGGCAAAAAACGCTTATTGGCGTTATTGTGATGAAAATTTTCGCTATTTAGGTCAAAAATCTATTTTCCCTTGGGACGAAGTGCATTGGGAATTGTGGTTGCAGGCGCACCACATGACCAAACTTTCATCCTCAAACAATCCGCCTAACTCGTTTAACCGGCAATCAAAGCAGCCCTTTCCGCGAGGATTCTGCTGGAAATTCCACAAGATGAAAGATGTCTTGGGTGTAATTTCAAACACGCCTGCTTTAAATGTGGAGGCGATCACCCTGCCACAAAATGCAAGTCGGGAAAACCAACTGTCGCCACCTCTCGCACTGTCGCATCCAGTCCAACTACCAACACCATTCAAAGTAAATAGATTACATTTTTACCTAGATGGCTATCCAACTAAATTGAAAGACTATATTTTAAATGGATTTCAACATGGGTTTTTATTAGCTTATGTAGGGCCCCACAAACCCTCCAGTTGCAAAAATCTTTCATCCTCTGCTTAAAACCCTGCAGCCGTTTCCGATAAACTGTCAAGGGCCATTTTTAGAACGACCTTTTCCTTCGTTACGCATTTCTTCGCTTGGTTTACTTCCTAAAAAGACGCCAGGAGAATTTCGCCTTATTCATCACCTATCTTTTCCTTACGGTGATTCTATTAACTCTTGTATTCCTAACGATGCCTCTACGGTTAAATATGCCTCGATTGACGATGCGGTTAGACTTATCAGGCGCACAGGCAGGGGCTGTGCCCTAGCTAAGACAGATGTCAAAAACGCTTTTCGTTTAATTCCAATAAATCCATGCGACTATGATTTGTTAGGTTTTTGTTGGGAGGACAGCTTCTATTTTGATAAGTGCCTGCCGATGGGAGCCAGTTCCTTTTGCAAAATTTGGGAAAGCTTTTCAACCGCTCTCGAGTGGATTGCTAAGTCTAAGTTAGCTATCTCACGTGTCAGACGACGATCGAATAGTATCCCATGATGCACCTCGATTCATGTTATATTATCACTGCGTACGTGACACATCATGATCAGTAATCTTCAGCACGCGCGAAGTGAACATCGATCGCAGTGCTCGATGTGGATGGTTTCCAAACATGTTTCGGTTCAGAAGCTTCTGCTTTTGAGATTATCGAGTTGGCTTAAATTCACTGTGCTTTAAAGGAGAATTTCAGTGTTGCTTTGACTGAGAAGGGTTTTACATGTATTTCACTGATCTGTCGAGAACTACTTGTGCCGCGCTCGGTCGCACTGTAAACACAAATTATAAGACTCGCAATTGATAAGCTTCGCTAGGTTCACTAGGAGAACCCAGGCCAGAGGAGAACCAAAACTATGACTGATCTATAAAGTGGTTCCAACAAAACATCCGCTACCCTGTGAAGCTAATTACCAAAGGAGAATGTATTACAGCATCGCTCTCAAAGGAGCTGAAGTTTACAATGGCAGTTACAAACAAAATTTAACCTATCGATGCGACAAACAATTCTCTGAAGCACAGTCTACCCGGTACTGACTCAAGCAATCTTCAAGGAAATTTCCTGGCCAGAATACTGATCTGTTCTTTTGAATAAATAAAGTTTCTGATGTTTCTTTTTCAAATTCTGAGCAGGCTTCAGTTTACGTTGTGCCGGCTTGCATGCTGCGTGGTACCTTTCTTTGGGTTCTTTTCACACTGAAACACACCGTTATACACCGCTTCTTCTTCGAATTAAAATAATTATAGTCAAATTCCTTTTAAAAATAACCTCTTTGAAAATACAAAGTGATTGCTTCGGCATAGAGCGCTCTCAAAAGCGCCCAACAGATTGTAGCCTTCATCAGGCTTTACACATATATTATGACACATGGCGTTGAAATGTGATAAAAGATTCGAAATTTCAGCCATCTTTGGTCGACAAAAAAGTCTTCAAAATGTGGGTACTTCTGGGTACTTCTTAGCCTGTACAATATTCAGGACTTCATTTTGCTGGTGTAAGGCCCACATTTGGGAGATTTCAACATATATTCCAAAAAATCTTGAATATTCATGACCTGGTTGTGGGTCACTGAACACTTTGTGATGGGAAGACTAATTGAAACCATGAAAATAAATGTTTCTATGTGGAAACTTCGCTCTTAAGCCATTGCAAATCGGAGAAATCATGTCGAATAACGAAATAATGTAATATTTTTATTTTTACTGGAAATCGAGTGAGAAAAAAGCCGACGAGAAAACGACCTTATTTCTAGATGGAATCTGCTATGACTGCGATATTGCGTGATGCTTCTGGAAAAATGCATCATGGGATACTATTCGATCCTCCTCTGCTCACGTGTTTTACACCTTTTAGATGATTTCCTTCTCATAGACAAAACTTTCTCAGCTTGTGAACAAAATCTGTCTAGGTTTTTAGCGATGTGTGACGACTTAGGTGTCCCCATGGCGCCTGAAAAGACAATGGGTCCCAGTAGTGTTTTATGTTTCGCCGGAATAGAACTAGACACTGACAAAATGGAGGCTTGCCTCCCAGAAGAAAAGCTGAGAAAATGTGTTACTCTTATTTATGAATTTCTCAAGCGTAAAAAAGTCTCCCTCAGCCTTGTCGGAAGTAATGAATAAAAAGACGACTAAAGATAGGGAGCTGTTGGTTCTTCTTCGCACCTTGGTTCTATCATGTTTGCAGAATAATATCTTATTTAAAGCTGTACACCTCCCAGGCGTTCATAACACGAAAGCTAATGCTTTATCGCGTTTACAGGTGACAAAATTCAAGTCCCTGTCCGAGGACATGGCGCCAGAACGAACAGCTGTGCCTCCCCAACTGTTACCAGAGAACTGGCAGTTATAACAAAAACTCTTTTAGAGGCAAGATTGAGTAACGCTTCTGTATCAGTTTATAAACGACCTTGGAAGTTATTTACAGATTGGTCGGCTTCTTATTTAGGTGATACAGTATGCCTATTAATTTGCCTCTTCAACCGGCCATACTGGCCCTTTTTATCGCGCATCTATACTCTAGGAGTTATTTCTTCTTCGTCAGTAACCACTTACATTTCTGCTATTAGTTACGTTCATAAACTTGCTGGTGTCGCTGATCCTACTGAGACGCCACTTATTATACAAATTTTAAAGGGTTATCGGAAACTAACTCCCGTCAATGATGTCAGGTTACCTATTACTTTACCAGTATTACGGAACTTAATTAGAGCTTTCGAGCATTCCCTTTCATCACATTACCAGTCTCGTCTCATGTCTGCCATGTGTGCTTTGGCATTTTTCGCTTTTCTCAGCGTTGGGGAGTTAACAACCTCTCGAGGCAACACTACCAATATCATTAATCTTTCGCAACTAGACCGACTGGTTGATGCTCAGGGCCGAATTCAGGCACTGCAGCTTCCTTTGCATAACTACAAGCATAAGAATTCTGGGCCACCTTTTGTTATTTTTGTCTATCCTGAAAGGTGTCCAGTTCAGTTGATCTTAAACTTTTTAGCTGTGCGAGGGTCGGTATCCGGCCCTCTTTTTTGTTGGCCCGACGGAAGTCCGATTACTAGATCCTATTTTGTTGAGCGACTTAACGCAGCACTTACATTTTGTAACTTAGACACAAAGCTATATAAAGCGCACAGTTTTCGCATTGGCGCTGCCAGCTGGCCATCTGCCAAGGGGTTTTCAGACTCCCAAATTCGCTTGCTAGGTCTCTGGAAATCCAGCGCTTTTCTTCGTTATATTAGAACTCCGAGTTTTAATAGGAACAACTTTAGATACTAGTACTTGAAAACACAAACTGGGGTTGTGTTTTCGTCCTCCTTTTCGCCAACAGCCTTCGGGTGGGGCTGGGCCGCTTAGGAGCGACCCGTGGCCTTTTTCTTCTGGCCCTCACCTTTGGTAGACCTATAAATTCGTAAACATTATTTCATATTTTAACATTGATAAGATGATTTTACAGTTTTGAATAAAACCGGCCATTAGCTTGGCCATGTTTTTTAATCCCAGACCACAGTCTCGGTTTTCTTTGTTTCCTAAAAATGAGGCGTCTAGCAAACAAAGCTCGGCTGTTGGCAGTAAAGGGGGGTTTATTGTTAGTGTTTCAGTAAACCGGGGAGGAGACATAAAAGGGGGTAATTATCGGCGGCCCATCTTATCATACTTATCTATTTGCTAACGTGCGGATAATTGCTCAGAGGATTAAATGATATCATGCTACTGACACAACCGTTCATAAGATGCGAGATGGTGCGGTTGACACGCGTAGGTCGAGGTAATTTAGTATTTCTGATGTCGGCCATGTTTAACAAACGCAAGTAGACTAAGTAATTTCTCCCTAAAAACAAACCAGATAAGGCAAGGCACCCGCTTATCGCATGGCAAAGTCTATGGAAACAGTCGTCTTTGATTTTTGTGGATGAAATACTCAATGCAAATATCATGAACATCGGAAAAACTTGGTCACGTGGTACAACTTGACGCTTTGCTGGCATGTTTGCCGTGACGGTGTTTCTAAATCTCTTGATCAAATAGGATATTTATAATTGAGCAAGGTAATGAAAAAGCGGAAAGCGGCAACCGAAGATGGCCGCGTGACAATTTTTTCCGCTGCTCCTTACGCTTATCGTTTGCAAGTCATAGTCTCTTGCGTTTGTCACTGGCCGTTTTTAACAAGCCGAGTGCTTTCACATTCTTAACATCGTAACTTAAAATCATGAAAGAGGACTTCATTCAATTATCATTCTCGCGCGCGTCTTTGTTGTTTGCTGATCGCCGTATAAGTGGTTCTTAATTAAAAGGTGGCTGAACGCAGTTTCTCTATAAATGCTTTCGTCCTTTATTGTGCATACTGTAGTGAAATCTTTATCGTATCAAAAGGATTCAAGCAGCCAAAAAGGAAGTGCGAGGATAAACTGATGTGATCAGATTACTTAAGTAGAAATTTAGAATTACTTATACATCGTTATCTAATATCCATAGCCAAAGGGCGTGCAAAATGCTGATTGAAATAAATAAAAATTGCGTAAAGGGTCATGGTCTTGATAGCTGATGAAAATAAGTACTTAATTGTTCTAAACAGAACCTTGGTAAGAAAAATATCATAAACCGGCCATAAAATGCTTTACAACAAAAAAGGGAAACATTAGATAGAGAGCAAGAGAGACTGAGAGTAAAGTAGGAGAGGAAACATAGCAACGGTGGCTCACTTAGTTATTAGAGAGGTTAAGGCCCGGTTCGGACGCCGAACTTTTCATGAGCCGAACCTACCTCGAATTCATTAAGGCCGACTTATTTTGAGAAATTCTCAACTTGAATCTGACGTTTGCCCTTTGCCGCATACGTAAGGCTTAAACTCCCCGAGGGGGGAACTCCGCATATGAAAGGGGTGGGGATGCTCGTCGTCTCGCTTAGGGGTGTAAATTTCGAATTTTGGTCTCACTTAAAGTGTCCTGGGCAAAACGCGATCATATTTAGCCGTGAAGGTCTCGTTTAGGGTTGCATGCGAAAAATATAAAAATACATATTTGATATGTATATTTCTAATTCGTTTTATTTACTCCATTCATATAGTCCAGACGTGTTTGGATATTGATATTAACACCTTTAAGCCCTAAGAGTGATCACCATTAATTAAATTTATCCTTGTAATATCAATGCTTTGTAAAACAGAGTGGTCATGAGAATTACGGTCATGATGACACAAGTTGAATTTGCTTGATATTTTATCAATTTCTCCCTCCTACTTCTGTAGGAAATGAATAGTGGGCAACAAATGAGAATTCAAATTTTAATCTTAGGGGTTTAAAGGGTTAACAAACTTTGAGCAGTTTTAATAACTTGCACACATGCCCAATTTTGAACTGCATATTTATTCTCACAGACATGCAATCTGATGGAAGAATGATAAGCATTACCTCAGTGAGGTAAATGTATTAGTACAACTGCAAACATGACGTCTAAATTTTGTCCCAGTCAACGAGTAAATGCTGATAGCAACAAGATACGATACAAATATGATAGGAACGGGCTGCGACCTCAACAACAGGATAAATAGTCAAATTATCATTTGCTTATTTGATGCGAGGTTTTATTTACATTATGCCTTGCTATTTACACTGCTTTTCCGGCTTTACTACCAATGGCAATCGCGATATGTGTATGGACCAAATTACTTTAAATGACAAGTTTTCAGTGTCGAGTTCATAGTTAAACTCCATCGGTTTTGTCGATTTTAAAACTGGTAATAAACGGATGAGGATGACTATCCTCAAATTTTTTACCTAGAATAATGCTCGTCATATTAGTTTCATTTACATAATTTCATATATGTCAGGTTTCAGTTTACTTATAAAAACAAACTGTAAACACGATTTCAACTCAGTTATTTCCGAGCTCAGTGTACATATCTTGATTAAAATAATTTTTTTGCTAAAACACGTTTGTCTGAGCTTAATTCGTAACTAAGGCTGCTAAGAATTGTACCTTAGGTCTGATATCTTACTTTACGAAACTATTGATATGATTAAGAAAACTACCGAACTTAAATTTTGGAACTCTTTAAATTAGTAAGGGAATAGCCGTCTTGATTAACAAGTGGAACATGTTTACCGCCAAAAAATAGATTTGTGAAAGATTCCATTTATATTAAGAGAAGAATGACACAAACAATGATCATGAAATACAGTACTAACATTCTCGAAACATACTACACTGTCCATTAATCAAAACTGTGTAACTGCTATGACTCTACCATACTTTCATTTGTAATACTGAATTAGTGTACGTACTATACGCTTGCTTTTCCCCTTTATAATACCGTCCACCCTATCTATATTTGCTGTATTTTTCTGTTTGCTAACAGTCACTGAATATTGTTTGATGATTGAAGGTCTTATTTCTGATATTTCACACATGTGTTGAGATGTCATCCGCGGGTTCCAGTTCAGGTGAATTAAATCTTGTATGTTGAGTTTTCCGAGAGAAAGTACCACCTGAGTTTCTGTCAGTAACCTGAACGGGTTCGATGCAAACAGAACGTCGTCGGCATTTTCTCGACAATTTCTTCAAAGCATCCTTGAATATTGCCATTCTAAAGCTGTAGACGATCGGATTGACCATAGAATTTGCCAGATGAAGAACATTTACAACCGACATTACAATCGGTCTAACACATGGTGGGCGGCAAAAGGGTCTGGCAGTGTACACAACGGTCGCTGGCAACCATAACACCAGTGACGCAGCGACAACCATGAGAACTGTTCTTGACAGTCGTAAGTTGCGTTCAGCTGTCTGGCGAGCGTGGATCTCTTCACCAGGAATGACGTTTGAGCGCCATTTCCTACGTATTTGAAGGTAACTTCCACAAATCGCTAATAGTGCTATGAAAAGGCACGCATGAATGGTTAGAGTAACATATTTCCTCTTTAATTTTGTATGATATAAGGATAATACAGACAGCCCAAAGAAGCAGGATCCAAGACCCCAGACAACGGTTATGACGAAAATGTAAGACCGAGTTCTAGTCGTACGGTGATGAACTGGCCATAAAACGGAATAAACACGTTCCAAGGAAATAAGTGCGAGAAAAAGCACTGAAGTAGTCGACGCAAGGACTTGAAATACAGATGATGGATTTGTAAAACTTTTTTCTTTACCTGGAATGGCCGTCATCCTAGCAATCTTCTCTGTGCCCAGCACAATTGGTTCGGCAATCCCCACAAGCAGATCAGAAACTGCGAGGTTAATAAGAATGAAATATGTTCGCCTCAATTGAGATCGCTGGCTCCAGAAGACAATTATGGTGAACGTGTTTCCAACAATGATAACGAATGCCTCCAATGTATAGATGACAACGAAGGCAGTAAAAGTCGAAGAAACCATCGCTTTGCTCTTTCTGTGATCTGTTAGGAAAGAGGGCGTACTTTTATCAATTTATCGATCGAGTAAACTGAATATTGATCGCGGAAAAAAAGGTTTAAGGCTGGTCAAATCTTGTTGAAAGCTTCCCTTCATTCCCCAACAAAAATGCAAATATATAACCATGTTTATAGAATTTTACAGGCTGTAGTAATGAATTTACATCTAGTGAAAGGTAACCTGTAGTTCGTTTCCCTTGGCCTGCTTAGCCAGAGCCTTTGGTTAGCGTATCTGTTGTAGGTCACTTTCAGTTGATTTCTGAGCCCACTTTCAGAAAAAGGGAACAAAAATGAATATAGTTTAGTATATACTTTTTTAGGGGATGCGAAGGCATCCCGTCTTTATTTCTAGGAGGCGTGTGTATTTCCCTTTTGACCGCATTAATTGGATTAAAGAGGAGCCATCCAATGATGGTCTAGCTTTTATAATCCTTTGGGATTTGCTGAAACCAGTTTCCGTAAAACTAAAAGAGAGATAAGGGAAACCATAAAAACAGGTTTACGTGACTAAACCAGCCAGACTGGTTATACAAGTTAAGCTTGTTTACCGATTTTGCCGTGACGCATTTGAAATTCTTAACGTACTTTACCTATTGTTGGTTTTCACATGACGTCACTAAAATTCACACTACAAAACTATCAATCCTACCGAGATTTTACTTACACGATGTATTAGAGCAGCTGAAAACTAATTTTCATACAAATTTTCGCTTCAAACGGGTTCTGGACTTTGTGATAGAGTACGCCTGAATTTGTAAGCTTTTCAGTGACGCGGCATTCACATGACGGCCAAGAAAACATTTCTTCGGATGTCTCGTATACGAAACATTCCGCTGACCTGAATCATGGCGAGGGTCTTCGCATATATACCTCCTTTCATTTCCCAGATTCTGGACTTTATCTATTGAACGGTGTTGATTATTATTTTGATCTATTTTGAATGGCGTCACACTGAAAACCAGCAATATGACTGAAGGCAGTTCATGAACGCTGCAAAAATTCGTCCTGACCTTAGGTTCATGCATATGCATAGTCAGGTGAGTAAACATCGATTTGGCGACTTTTTTCCGCTCCTGTCGTTGTCTTTGCGCTGTTCAATAAGTCAGATGACTAAAATGTGTTTTTCTTTTCTTTTTTTTTTTTAACCCTATTCAGACTGGGCTTTTTTGGTCAATCTGTGACTGGGGGCTCCTCGGACCCCCCCTCTGTATCTCTGGAACCAATAATGCTAGGGTCATGAAATTTACACACAATGATCATCTCCGTACAAAGAAGCCCCACACGCAGTTTTGACTTGCCACGCCCAATGATGACGTCACAGTGACGTCATATTCCGAGTTTTCAATGTTTCTTATTGTTTTTCCACTTAGATACGTAAAATATCAATAATATTGGTAAAGTCATCTCTTTGTTATCCTTTCTTATGAACTAGTAACAAGGAAACACTTGTACAGCGAGGAAAAGCAATAGGAAGCAATGAAATTTAAAATTTGAAATGGTTGTCCGCCATCTTGGATCCGCCATCTTGGATCCGCCATCTTGGATTTCCGTTTTTTTGGTTAAAATTATAATTTAAAGCAACTTTCAAAGGGGAAAAAGCTCAGAATGTATAAACGAAGTATCAAACTAATGTTTATTACCCAAACAAATGACTTTGGAAGTGTTATTTGGAAAATAGAGCAGCATATTTGTCAAAGCAAAAAAGTGACAAATTTTACCCCACCCCTCCCCCCGAAATATTCGATGTTGAAACATTTTGATGTAATTCAAAAACTAGTCCCAAGGAAAGACCATTTTAACAACACAAAGCACTATAAGTGTAAAAACGCGATCTTAAAACAAAAAAATCACCATTTTTTAAATTTTCCAAAACCTATGTGTCAGAAACTGGTTGCCATGGGAACATGATTAATCACATCGACATGGTAGTTATACCAAAATGTTCCTAGATAAATTTTAGGAAAAGTCAGAAAATTTGAACGTCATAGCTCTTTCGGTGTAGGAGTTATCACGATTTTGCCGGAGGGGGGGTTCGAAAATCCCCCCAGTCTGAATAGGGTTAAGATGACAATCATACGCGTAATTTTTTCCTGTTTGTACTGTTGAACTATTAAAATTTGATTGTTTATATTCCTGGCTACTGGCAAGTCAGGTGTATTATTTCAAGGTAGGTATTTCTTTGAAGCGAAAAGTATATTTTGAGGTAATGTTTGTTTTTGATCAAATCGATTACTGAGTATAAGAAACACTTTGTCTTTCCTTATTGTAGGTGGACCACCGGCTTGCCATGTTTTTGAATTCTGCATCCAAGTCATGCTATCAATCGCTGTTGAAAGTGTTTCGATTATTTGGAATGTGACTCCTATTGCCAGCACTATGACAACCAAGGCTGAATTTATTGGAGGGCTAACGGTGCTGAGATGTTTCATATATCAGTGTTTAAATATTTAGGGAGTAGTATCAGCTCCCAGCAAGGGTTTGCTAGCTGTGTTCAAGGAGTAAGTGACTTGTTTTATGAACTACAATACAAACTAGCCTGGTGAACATATATGTACTTCTTTTCTTTCTTAGCAGTTTGTGTGATGCCTTACCAGCCTTACTAACTTAATAAAGGTAAAGGTTTAACTTCGCTTACGAGGTTCCACTTCACCCAATTCTTGCTCAATGCCTGATCGGCAGGATGTAGCATCATTCCATTCTCGGACGCTGAAATGCATTTCCTGAGCTCAATCCCCGCCTTGTTGTGGGATCAGAACTCACATCCACCTTTTGACGTCTTTTTCGCGATAGCTTCTTCAGCGCGTCTTTAAATATCTGCATCCTGGAACTGCAGACGAATGGATTCACCATCGAATTTGCCAGATGCAAACTGCATTCACAGCACAGCGTCCAGAGGAGTTTCGTGTGAATAAATAAATTACTTATTAAAGTCTCACCTTGAAAAATGTCTATACTTGTTGCTTAGCTCGATTAATTAGCCCAACGGGATCTTTACGAATTTACTGTAAACGATTTCTTCGCTTCTTATCTGACCCAGATCGACTTTGTTGTTCGCCATTTGGAAAATCAATAACCGCAAGCCATAGCCTCGCTGGTGCACAGCACGTCGCCCGAAGGGCGACCGAGGAAAGAAGTAACACGATCTTGCGAACCCTCAGTCTCTTGGTTTGCGGTATATAGAATGTGTAACGAAATTGTAACGCGATCAAAATAACCCATTTTTTCAGAGGTTTTCGACGGGTTTTGATGTTCTAACGACAAAAACATTTCCTCTGGACCCTGTGTTCACAGTTGTAATCATGAGTGACGGAAAACATCGATGGCATAATTCTCTCGTTATGTACACAACAGCAGCTGGCATCGAGAACACTGAGGGATACAGCAATTGTAACAAAAATTGTTCTTGAAAGTCGTAGATTGCGTTCAGCAGATTAACGACTAAGAATGTCGAGTTCGGGTGCAAGCGATCGCATGTCCATTGCGTATTTTCAGGTAACTGCCACAGATCACACACAATGAAATAAAAAGGGAAGACTGAACCGTGACGCTAAAATGTTCTCTCTTTACTTTTGGCGGGTAATAGAAGGCTAAGACCGAGCGTAAAAAAGTCCAATAACCCAGGTGACAGTTACCATGTAAATATAAAATCGAGTTTTTGCGGTGCCATGACGAAACGGGCACAGCACTGCGAAAGCGCGTTCTAAAGAGACCAACGCGAGGAAAAATATGGATACACTTGAGGCGAAGAGTTGAAACGCTGGCCCAGGATTTGCTTTCCACTGAGCGTTTCCTTCATCACTTACAATGCCTCTTATTCTTTGAAATTGTCCGGTCCCAAGAAGAAGAAGGCCTTCTACGATCCTTACAAGCATATGTGCGACTGCAAGGTTAATCAGAAGAAGGCATGTTCGCTTGAGGTGGTTTCGGCTGTGTCCAGAAGACAAATACAGTGAACGTGTTTACAATAATGATAAAGATTGCTTCTAGTACAAAGATAACCACAAACGTAATGGATGCAGAGAAAAGCATGTGTTTGCCCTTTCGGTTTTCTGTAAGGAAGAGCGAAACCGCGTGTTATAATGTACTGATCTAATATGCCTGACCGAAAGTTGCCATTGGTGCCTGACATTTAAACAGCGATAAACCAAAACGGATTTCGCAGAAGAGAAAATACAATAAATTACAAATTAAGCAAAGTTTGCGTGATAGGAACTGAGAGATGTTTTAAAAATAGTTATTTTGCAGGATCGATGAAGGCTAAAATTTAGTTTACTTTCATTACTTCATAGTAAATTCAGCTGGGTTCATTATGATTAAATTTGGCTACGTGTAGGCACAGTGTTGTTTTTCTGGCAATTAAAACAAAATCAATAATTGCATGTGAAGCTTCGCTCGGTCCAAACTATTCCCAAAAGCTTTCACTTCGATTAGCAGCCTTACGTTTTGCTAAAGATGAATGTTACATAAGCTTGCCTACCGCTCTAAAACCTAAAAACTTATATTACCGACCAAAACTTCTAGTCAGTTGTCGCTTCTCGCCACGTTGGCTAACGTGATCTTCTGGACTAACCTTTTCATAGCTAAAATTGAAAAAACAGGACATTTTTTGTAACTTCCTTACCTCAAAAATTTAGTTTTTTGCCTATTTTCAGGAACAAGTCTCTCTGACTGCGATGAATGTACGCATATTAGTTTGTGGCCTAAAAATATTAGATATAAATCAATCAATCAACTTTATTTAAAAAGAGGGTGGCCCTCATATCGTTGCACGCTTGGTATTTGTTCAGAAGCCCTTTCACTTTCAAACAATGCGTTACTAATAATGATATAGCTGCTTACCGTTTGACCATAATCACGAACATATGGAATACAAGTTCAGGGAGATAGGGGAGGGGCTTGGTGATATATTGATTTCAAATATTTAGAGTGACCCTAAAACGTTGTAAGTCTCTACAAGAATAGAGTATAATCCTTTTCATCATGGTACGTTTGCTTAAGGTTTAAATCGTATATCACCGGCCAGAACTCAGTTTTTTTTTTTCTTTAGTTCTACATTTTGTGAACCGTTCACGACCTTAGGTATGCTCGTTAGTCAGAGTAACGCGGTTCAATCTACGACTTTCCTATTTCTTCTCTTTTTTTCAAATGAAAATCAGTCTAGATGGAAAAATATATTAATCGCTTTTTTTAAAATTTTTTGTTATACGATGATAGACATGCTAATTTAGTTTTGTTATTTGCATTTCAAAATTCACTTACCGTAATCAAGGAAGCGAAAATGTAAAGTTAAATAAATGCAGTCCATAAAAGGCGAATCTGTCAGGATTCATTACCAAATAAAACAAACAATGTTGCGAAGCTGATAAGATTTGCCAGAATTTTACTGAAAAATATGTCAACATTTTTTTTTCTAGAAAAATCTCACTAAATATTAGGTCAGAATTAAATTCAGAGCTAAGAGAATTACTAAAAATATTAATTCAAAGGAAACCACATTATTTTGGAACATTGCAGGTTGAAAAGACGGATTTTCAAGATACTAGTGTTAGAGCTTTATGTCGAAGGGCGTAATAGCAAATTTAAAATATTTTGTTGAAGTAAAGATTCGTAGCCTGATTATATCCGTCTAAGCAGCACATACAGAGGGCGGTTTTTGACTCCTTTGTGCAAATTGTATTTGTTAATGTCAGCGAAGAAGTACGCACGTGCGTACCGCAACAAATGTCGCAGACAAATTAAGAACTGTGAAATGATTGAACCCAGGAGTCATTTCAAAAGTCGGTTGAGTTTGATCGTCCGGGCGAACGTATTTCTGAATAGTACTGTTGTTGTTGACAATGACTGACGTTTCGACAACCTGTGCGGTAGTCATCTTCAGAGTCAAAGTGAGTTGTATCACGTCAGTTGATGGTATTATACTCTGGTTATCGATCTGACTGGTCAATTACGTCGCAATGTTATTGGTCGTCTGTCAGTTAAGCCGTGATGTTAATGGCTATGAAGACTCGTAATCAGTAACTGGTGCGTTTCGATCCGTCTATTGTCACAGTTAAACAGTCGTCTGGAGAACTGACAATTTGACCAACAATAGAGGTTGTCGAATTCAGTCACTGTCAACAACAACAGTCCTATTCAGGACTACGATAACCCGGATAAACTCAACCTACTTATAAATTAAGAAATTAAAAACAAAACAGAAAAGTTAAATGCAAGAGAAAAGAAGGTAAATAATGGATAGTTGGCATTTACCTGTTATAACTACCCTTTAATCTTCTGTAGATACAGTCGAACTAAACTTTACGGACGCCCGCTTAATAAGGACACCATGCAGTTTCATTTGTCCCTGATGAAAACCCTTAAATTTTCTCCAAATTCTACCCACTTACTACTGACCCCGGTTAATACGGACAGTGGTCACTGGTTCTTGCCCAATTACCCCATTCGCTCCTGGAAATTTTGCCGAAAAACGTGTTTTAAAACTAGTCGAGTGGTTTTCTGGTCACTGTCGTGCTATAAAGAGCTAAAGCTTACCACAAACTGGTTTACAGGTCGTATATTTCGCGGCCTTCTGATCCAGATGCAAAGTATCAGCTTGCGAAGTTCGGGCATGCACAGAAAGGAAAGTTTCACGATAGTTTTTGGGTTTACAAGTTAAGTGACACAGCAGTCATGACTTTTACTTTTCGGTTTCTCTCCTCCCCTCTCCCCGCTTTTCTTGCCTCATTTTGTTCCTCTTGCTGGGCATTCAGTAGGCTTCGTTTTGGTGGGAAGAGTTTTTAGGAAAACTTTTAGGGTCTTAGGATTAGGTGAAAGGAAAGGTAGGTGAGCAATATAATGGAACAACATTTTCATGGAGATTTTCAGGTCAATGTCACATGGTTTTTTGCTTCTTTCTCCGGTGTCCTTGACTGAATTGTGCTCATTCTGGTATGGTTTGAAAGATCTCTTCACTCTGCACAAGTTAGCGGACAAAGTTGTCCTTGAACGTTAAAACTGATAACGTCACAAAGGGTAGAAAGGACGTGGATCCGCACGGGCGGTTACAGGCGGTTCAGGGGCGAATGGGTTAACAGATTCTCATAGAAAGTAAACCTTCCCTAATGCGGACACTTCACTATCAACTGTCTGCTATAATAGCGGGGCTCCCGCGCGCGCGAAGCGCGCGTGGGACAAGCCCCATACTCATGGAATATGGTCAACCTCTTTTCGTTTGATTGTCACGTGACTGACCGAGCGTACGTACGTACGTACGCGTCTACAGATTGTACGGGTAGGTAGGGGAGACTATCAAAAGGAAGGGAGGGGTGTCTCAGGCGTGTCTTGGCAAGTCCTCATCTTTTATATATGACACTCACAATATGGTGAATTGACAGCTGTCAAAACAGGATAGCCACTGACCAGTATCCAATGACCATATCGCGGGCTCATGTGTTAACTCATCGAGGTTACGTGATTTATTTGGAAGCTGTTCGCTGACCAGTTAATCGTTTTACTAGATCGTGAACAATGTTCAATCATACTTTTTAGTTAGTTTGGGAGCACAGGAAAACTGATACACATATTGGACATCAATGTTGTGATCAATTGACAGCTGTCAAAACAAGGTATCCGCTGACCGGTATCACTTGAGCGAATCGCGGGCTCAGGTTTCGACCCATCGAGGTCACGTATTTTTTTGAAGTTATCCGCTGACAAGGTACTGATTTTCATCTGATCGCAGGCTCAAGTTTCATTTTTTTAAAAAAAATTCGTATGAAATATGTTGTGTTTATGTGGCGCACAATTAAAATTTTGATTTCAAACTGATCTCGGACGCGAAAATTCAGTCAGCTGCTACAAGCAGGGAAGACAGTTGCTTTTGACTTTTCTCACCATGTTTACGCGTTGGTCACGTTCTACGTCCAATTTTTATGCTCTGATTGGTCAAAATTTGACAGGTGAGTTCATGCGGAAAATTTAGGCAGCATCTTCAGTCTTGTTTACTTTGACAGCTGAAGCTGAGAGAGTTTTGTGTCAACTTGTGACTTTTTTAACTGTCCTTTTCCACTGGATGTACAAAATGAATTCAGCTGCTATCGGAAGTCTTCTGTTATCCATGGCTAGTTTGTTTATTGGGTTTTTGGTTGAGAAATACGTCACTACGTCACTCCGATTTCGGATGGCATCGTTTTCGTTTTCATCTTGCTTAATGCGTAAGAGGGTTTCAAAGTCTGAAGCGATACTGGCCTTACTTGATACCTTTGAGGAGCTGCATCTCGAGTGGTAAGCCCGAGTAATTATTGTATTTGATGTTTGTTTTTTATTTCTAATTTAATGAAGTCGAGCGTAGTTTATTCCGCTATTTTGTTTACGCACGTTTGTAAGATTTGAGACAATGATCTGACCGAGTATCAGGTTTATATAAGCTTACAGATCTTTTTTCTCACCGCAAATAGAAAGAACACGTTCCAAAGAATTTTTAGTTATAATTCAGGCTGTAAAAGAAGCTTTGAGCGATTTTCTTGCCTCGAGTTCGTCTTTGAAAAAAGCAAACACCGGGAAGCCGGCTTAAAACAAAAACTTCAACGGCAATTTTCGGGAAAATATCTGTTCGGAAGACGATTTGAGAACTAGAATTTTCGGAACATTTGTTGTAAAATTTCTTGCTTGCCTGCCTCTCCTAAGATTTTCGAACATCTACAAAATGGTATAATTACCCATTATAATCGGATATTTACCCTAAAAAAGGCCACCTAGAATTTTCGGGAGCCTTTTCCTGGCTGAAATTTTCGAACAGGTAGGTTTTGATCCCTATAATTTTCGGATCACTAGACTTTCAGCTAGGAAATCCGAACAGATGAAAAGTTTTTAGGGGATAAAAATATGCCTATAT